TTTCCTGTCTTTTGCTTTTTAAATTTCACTTCTGTCTTAACAGTTACTTTTTGTCCTTTAAGTGAGGTAGCACTGACACTGACCACCTAATAATTCACAGCTTTGCAACTCTGACTCAATGTTGCCATCTAAATCATTTTTATTACAGTCATTCTCATCAGGAACATACTCACTGGATGGCCCCATCTACAATCATGCTCCTTGATACAGTTTGTCTTCATTCTTCTTTAGCAATAATTTATTTATGTTCCAAACGATCTGGTATTGACTGTTCCTTGAGCGTTTGTAGCTCGACTGCCATCAGCACACAAATTCATTTACATCAGCTTGAGCTGAAGCAAACTTTGTCTCTGTGCATGTTTTTATCTTTCAGAACCATAATTGCAGAAGCCTGTTAGCACGGCAGAAAAAGAAATATTTATTGCATTTAAACAAGAAAATATAACATTTAAATAAGATAATTTTGTGCCTAAATGAGATACTTATTGCATTTCAACGAGATACTCATAATAAACACGAGAGTGCTGGTAACACACTGACAACAGTCGTCTCTTCATAAATGTGTCACTCTGTTGGCTACAACTTGGGTGCCATCCTGGAATTGTTTTTCATTGTGTTCGACATTCCCATATCTCTTTATATTTATGTCTGTGCATAGTGGCGTTTTGCTGTGTAATTCCAAGTTCAAAATGTATTTGATGTAAGCATGTGCTAAAAGCTTCTCAGAATTGTGTGGTTAACGATTCAATGATCCACTGACAGTATGGTAAACCAACAGTATGTATAGGTTTTGCTCTCAGGTCATAGTAAATGTATTCTGTTCAATGTTAAATGGTGAGGCAAAAATCAATGTACAGTACATGTTTCTGCAGTATTACATGAAGAATATAATACACTTATAATGCTGTGTCATTTCTGTTTTTCACAGAAATAATGAAAAAACACTCAAGTAGCCTAGGAATGCTCAATCACAGGGTATACAAAAGACAATATACATGCTCCATTAGACTAGTTTGTTTGCACAAACAGGAGTGTGACAAAATTCTTCTGTGGTTAATGAAAATTCTACTTTGCATGGGACAATATCATTGCATTAATATATTAGGCATTATTGTTTACAAAGTAACTATCACATTTTAAGGTAATTTTTCTTCTTTAAACACAATAAGTGTCTAGTTTAAACACAATATTATAATAATAATAATTAATAATTGCTTACACTTATATAGTGCTTTTCTGGACACTCCACTCAAAGCGCTATGGCTGCCGTCGCATCACCCAGGTGGGGCTGCACACTGGTGGTGGTGGAGGGGATCCCCATTACCTGTAAAGCGCTTTGAATGGAGTGTCCAGAAAAGCGCTATATAAGTGTAAGTTATTATTAATTAGTATTAAATATACACACACTTTACAATGATATCTGTAAAGATCTTATAAATTACTTTACATTGCTAGGAGAATTGTGGCCAAATACTCTTTGAATGTCTGTGAATGTCAGGAACTAACATTGCACAAAGTCCAATTATATTATTCTGTGGCACATAAAAGCATAATTAAAATGAATAAAAAGGACTGTGCAGACTCCAATATACTGCTTCTCTTAGTCTCTCATCACCCATAAATACCTGGTATGGTTTCTAAAGTAAACCATATCTATGGCTGAAAGATATATATATATTTCTCAATTTGCTAAAGTCTGCTAGATATTAACTGTGCATTTGACAACTGTCCAATTTAACTTGCTGTTTTGTTTGAATGTCTTATTTTTCTTTCTACAGACTCTAATTGTAGGAAATTGTGTTGCTAATATCAAGATTGTTTTAGAATGACCTTGTAGTTATTGTAGTTATTACAGGTTGTATCTGTTAATATTCTTCTTATGACTGGATTGTACAAGTCATTATGAACATCTTCCAACTATTCAAACTTAGTATAGAAGTATGATTGTGGTTAAACTATCCAGACTTTAATGTACAAGGTACATTTACATAGGTAATTTCATATACCTATGGCCCATGTGCAAATTGTATAGAATTACATATTTACATAGTAAATATATAAACATGGATGAGTTTAATGTATTTTTTGACATAATGTAGAACTCCAGTGCCAAGGTCCGCCCTATAATGAAGTACTAAGAAGCACTCTGCGTTGTTGCAATTGAGCAAAAAGTTACCTGGGACTTGGTGAAGTCCCAGGGGGCTTGTCTGTAACAAAGAACAGCATGTTGTACATGCACATAAAATGAAAAATATGGGAGGTACTCTCATCTTTATGACCTAGAGATTAATCTGTCAATGGATCCAAACATAAATCTAACCCCTGCTTTACAAAATACTATTTTACCATCCTTTAAACTATATTTTATCTTTTATAGGCAATAAACATAAAACATCACAAAGGGGTAATGTTCTCATCAATATTATTACTTAATGATAATAAATTTTAAGCCTTATAAAGTTCTGAAGGAATTTCTCAAGGGGCACACGTTAAATACTGCATAGTACTTCTGAGAGCAGATCTGAGACCATATATTTAATATTAATAATTGTTGTCTTAAAATAAACTCCAAGGTTATTTTTGTGCAAGTAGAAGGGGGAAGGGCACACGTGACTCAGATTGCAAACTCTTTATGTTACTTGTCTGAATACTCCTTTTATCTCAGTAATGAATTGGTGTTTAAACTGTTTCTATTTTATGTCTTCTGCATGACAATCTGTCACCCAATCAATTCCATACTTTCAGGCAAGATCTGCAGATTTCCAATATTTTTCAGAGTTCATATTAATGAACAAAATAACAAGTATGGTTATTATCCTTTGTATTATCCAATGTATTATTCAATACATTGATGAGCTAGAAGGGTCTTGATTTCATTGATTTGGAGATGAACAAGACTGAAATACAGTATATCTGTATATTAAGGCTGGACTTTAACAACACCAAAAATGAAGATAGGTTGACTCAATTTTATCACCCTCAGCCATGCAGTTCTGTCCACAAGAGTAAAAATGGTACCTCTTTCACATGACATTGCTAATGTTTCAAATTCTGTTCAAATGACTTTATTGAAATACAGTAAATTTCAATGAAGATGTGCAAGTTCTGCTAGCCTGCAAGAACAGTTCCTTCCATCCTGGGAGACCACAGACTAAACAAGAGTTATATATAGATGCTGTTTTGTAATATGCAAATGTTGTAGCTTCAGGTTAAATTAACATTTTTAATTAAAAAATTAGTGCCAAACAAACAAAGCAAAACACACTAACGATTAAAAAAATCTAAAGCGTCTTCACTGAAAAATGAGATAAGGAAAAAATGCTCTCAACCCTTTTCAGAAAATCTTTTGCTCTACGTGCTGTATGAAATGATTTATGATTTCTACAGATGTATTGCAAAGGAAAATCTACTTCACAGTTAATAAATTGGAAAAAGAGGCATATGAAATTTTAGTTTATATTTTTGGGATTTTAAATAGTCTTTTTATATTTAGGTAAACTTAGTTTTGGAGCTCAAGTCTCCAACCTTGGTCCTGAACAGCTCTAATCCTGTTAGCCTTATAGGTCAGAATAAACAACCTTTCTAAAAGATTAGGGGACTTTTGTAAATTATTGGTCAATTAAGAAAACAATTGGTATAATTAAAGGAGCACTGGTTCTTTGGAGCTGAAGGATATTCTGTTTTGGGTTTCAAGGGATCTCTAAATTACTTAATTTAACCACCTGTTTAATTATTAACAGTTAAATTCTTCCAGATCTTTAAGAATTGATCATTTTGAGAGTGTCTGAGACCTGATGAAATCATAAAAAATCATAAAAAAAAACAACTGGCTAGGACAAAACAAATTGTATAAATTATAGAACTAGAAAGATGAAAAAAGAACGTACTGTGATATAGCGCAAGTTTATCAATAATAATATGTCGATGATACTACTAGTAATATTAATACGTTTTGTGTTATTAGATTTGTATATCTTTTAGCCATCTGAAAAAGCGTATTACAGGGCTATTAACGAAAACATTCTGTTTCTGAAAATACTGTCTGAAATGCAGCCTCTACTGCAATATAATTGGTTACCAGGAATGTACACTTGCTGATCTAAATTTTAATAAGATCTGTTAACATAATGATAACGTAACTGTATATTTAAATAAATGGAACTCTTTACAATTTGAAATGAAATAGCTGACGTTAAAGACAAACTGTACTATCATTCAATGTAGCAGTTATGTATTGCTAGAAATGTCATTTGATCGCTCCAGTTAGTGCGCTATTGGTGGTAATGTAGCGTGCCAGTTGAAACGTTGTTTTCCTGCAAGTTTGTGTAATTGTTTTCATTGTATTATTTATGAAGCTAAAGTATTGTGATATTGGTATTACATTTATTTTCCATAGTTCTTATATATGGCAAAATTGTTGAGCAGCTCCTTCGTGCAGTGTATAATATTGTAAACCAGTAACAATAATGCAGTGTTTTAAAACAATGTTAATTCTTTCAAGAAATTTTTAAAAGCGAATATGTCTCCATAACAAAAATACGTTGTATACTTTTTTGTTCACAGGTCTTTTGTTCCAAAGTATATTTTTCCTCGGGTTTAAAAACAAAAACAGTTGAAGGACAGGAAAACAGTTAAAAAAACCATAATAAAATGAGTCGAATTAAGAGTTTTCAGATGCTTCAACCTTTATAATTTATGCAAAATCTCAGACTCACACTTTGTATATTTAAAAAGGTCTAGATTCTGCGATATCAAAGAGATGCCACAGTAGGCAGTCGATGGTTTTAGGCTTTTTTCACCAATTTTGAGTTTTGCATTGTTCTAGCGCACTCTAGTGAGAAAGACTTAAAATGCACCACCACTCCAAACTCGTAAAATAAGGGGAAAAAAAAACACGTATTTTTCTCAAAGATTTTTCTCAAAAACAGAAAAGCTCATTCTTTCCACATTAAGATAATGCAGTTACCAGATAAATTAATGCCACGACACTCTTCCCTGTATATCTGACAAAAGTCTGCTTCTTTAATAATGGAAAAACAGCCCACAGATAAAATGTCACGATGTTTTATTACCAACACAACAAATTATGAAGGTAAGACTTTTTACACATTTTTTTCTTTGGCATGTTTCTTTATTTTTTCCATCGAAACATGATTTGCTGTTTTTTAAAAATAAAAACACAAGTAATAACCCTAATACAGAGGCATGTCGGATTATAAATGAAGACATTGGAATATGCTCTGCAGCAAGTTGCGAGAAATACACTTCTTGGCGTTATTTGTCTTGCACTTGTTGAGATAGAGTACAATAAAGGCAAGTCTTGATATTGGCCTAATTTGAGGTGCGCAGCCTGGGGTTTGGATTAATCGTCCCCTCCACACAGGCTCAACAGGGCCCTCTGGTAATCTCCCTTGGTGTGCTCCTGGGGGAGGGGGAAGAGACACATAATATTTTAGGATTGCTCAGAAAAAAAAGAATGACAAAAATATTTACTTCCTTATTCAAACTTTTCTCAGTACTTCATTTTCTTTCTTGTGTTTCCAGTAATTTCATCACATTCCGTATGATTAAACATTCTGTATTCAGCAATTTCATATGCTAAACTAGGTACTTTGTTTTGTTCATGGCAACTGTATTACACTTGGGAATGATTGTGAGGTATTAATTCACATGATAGAAAAAAAAGTTCATTTAATTGATGATGATACCAACATTTATAGGTTCTAGTACATGAACTGTGCTAGAGGATCTACCGCTGTAGAGTCACTCGGAACCACCATATTAGCATAGTGGTGGCTCTGTGGCTAAGGATCTGTGCCTGCGGCTGGAAGGTTGCTGGTTCAAATCCCACGTCAGGCAGGGAAATCCTACTCCGTTGGGCCCCTGAGCAAGGCCCTTAACCCTAACTGCTCCAGGGGCGCCGTATAAATGGCCGACCCTGTGCTCTGAAAATGTTCTCTCCCTGTCTGTGTGTCTCATGGAGAGCAAGCTGGGGTACGTGAAAAAGACAAATTCCTAATGCAAGAAATTGTATATGGCTAATGAAATAAAGTGATCTCCCTTAAAGTGATATTACACCAAAAAACAAATTAGGAGTAATCTTGCTCAGGTTAGCCCCAGGTCAGCAGTAGAGCTGGGGCATCACTCTGGAGTCTTACAGTAACAAAACCCCCCTTTTAACAGGTGAGCTAACTGTCACCACTTGATAAGCCAAGACATTGGGTTGCATACAAACAGTGGTCAATCAGACATGAAAGTCATAGGTTCTATTCCAAAATATTGGTTCCTGGCAGACGTGGCACTTACAGCAATGGTCTGATAGAGGGATTTGCTGTACTGCTTCTTGAATTCCGCTCTGATCTTCATCAAGTCAACCTCGCAGCGGGACAGCATGATCCTGGTCAGCACCTTCTCCTTGGCTCCCTTGCTCTGAAATTAGCAGTGTAGGTGGGTAAGGAATTCACTGCTGCCTTATGTAAATGATTCAAATGTCATTTGTTATCAAAAGCATTTTCTGTTGATCTAATACAGTCTCCAGTTTAAATGATGGCAATGTTACAGGTCTTACAGGTTCTGTGAAACTGAGCATGCAGGACGTTTCTTGGATATATCAAAGAAAACAGATCAACTCGAGTCTGTTGCCTGCTGTCTGGAGCTCCTTAAAGGGCTTACAGTTGAATGTAATAATTTCATGGGGGAAAAAAAATCTGGTAAGTAAATGAGCATTATAAATAGAAAAAAATCATCTTAGGAATGTAATAATAATAATAATTGCTTACACTTATATAGAGCTTTTCTGGACACTACACTCAAAGCGCTTTACAGGTAGAGGAGAGCAGAGTTATGAAGCCAATTCATAGATGGGGATTATTAGGAGGCCACGATTGGTAAGGGCCAATGGGAAATTTGGCCAGGACGCCAGGGTAACACCCCTACTCTTTTTGAGAAACAGCCTGGGATTTTTACTGATACAGAGAGTCAGGACCTCAGTTTGAGGTCTCATCCAAATGACAGCATCTGTTTACAATATAGTGTCCTCGTCACTATACTGGGGCATTAGGACCCACATGGACCGCAGGGTGAGCGCTGCTGGCTGTGAATGTGAAACTTTTATATAAAAATAAACCATTTATACTATTAATTTGATATGGGTATTTTTCAGAATTTTCAGAACAGGAGTTTAAGCACAAGAATATCTGCCAAGCTGCTGCCGAAGCAGGGGTGGCAATATTCTCATTTTAAACAATTAATAATCTGGTCTTGAACATGTAGACAGAGAAATGCAAGCTTACATTGGAAGATGCTGGAATTTGTTACGTTAAGAAAAGTGGAGATTTGGATTTGGCTAGGAAACCTAAACCCATATTGTGACCCTGTTTTTCACTTTTTGTTCAGCACTGTAAATGGATGCTAATTGCTGTGGAAACAAGGGAATCTCTTCCACAACAGGGTGGCAGCACTGAACAGGCAAACAGCAAGGAAACAAGAGACATGCAGCTGCTTAATGTTACAAACGTACCTTCATGGCATCTTGGAGTCTGTTAGCAAAATATAACTGTTTGTTTTCAAAGCACTGAACTGCAGGAAGAGAGAGAGAGAAGCATATTTAAATAACCTGCTTTTTTCATATTTTCTTTGGCAGTTACCCTTGTACTCCATAAAGTGTTCCTAGTTAGGAGGGCGCCTCTGGTTCTTAGGCACCTTTCCACGATTTCTTTGGGGGCATCCCTTGAAATCAAATGTTGTTTTTCTCAAAACAGCTTGCAATTATGTTTAATAAGAAATGAATCAACTGTTAGTAGAGTACAAATGGGATCCCAAGAAGGCAAAATGCCCCTGAGCCTTACAATCAGCTCATTCTGCAATTCTGAAGAGTTAGAGTGCTTTCACTGTGAAACAATCTTAAAGTCACCCTTTACAAATCGTGAGAGCACACTGCTGCAAGGAGAGTACAGAATGCAACAATTATTCACAGGTTCTGGAGACAGACATGCATGAAGTTGCATGTGACAGGCTACTGTACATTAATAAGTTAGTAATTTATCCAAGGGGATAAACTCAATGATTTCACAATACCAAAAACTTATTAGACTGTACAGTTAATGTGCTGTTTATAATGTTTACATATTCACATCTTCAGAATGTTTACTATCACAATGAAATCACAGTAAAATTAATGTCTTTGTAAAAGCAATGTAGTTTCAGTGACTGACTTATTTGGCTCTATTTGACTAATACGTTTTAGGACATTGGGATACCCATGCCTCTGTATACACAGTTCAATATATACTGTAAGCACTGTTCATGTTAGTGAGTTTAACAATTTGGGAACATTTTTATTCCTGCTTTCTTCGTACCCCATTTTGAAACTCTTATCACTGTTAAAAATCATATATAACATAATATACCCAGTGTGAGGAATGATTTTTCCAGGTCTCCCTTCACTTCCTTCCGGATGCTTTCTTGCATGTCGTAAGGGCTGTAGCTCTTGTACCTTTCAAAGACTAGAAAGTGAAACAGACTGTAATAAAATTTCTGAAGTGGCATTTTGGTCCATTGAAGGTATTCCAATGCTACTCAACTTCTCTCAGTACTTCTGCACCGACTAACGCAACCTCTGGTGTGACAGTAATTCAAGACTCGCCTTTTTTTAGCGGGAAGTAAATAGCCAAACCCGAGCTCCCCCCAGGAGCATGGGCACACTTCAGACTTGTAGCACTGCACTGTGACAGGAAGGGCATGCCCTCTGCCTGCTTGAACAGTCCTACCTGAATATCAGTCGTGGAAGTGGAAATCGGCACCTCCACTTTCAGGTCCATCATGGTAATGTATGAGTGCAAGTCTCAAAGCTGCAGTCTAAAGGGCTCAACCTATAGCCTAGCCACAATTGCTGACTCAGTGAAACACGAGAGAACCCAATCTTTTCCAAGTTTACTCAAATAATGACTGCGCACGTACAGTTCCCACAATTATCATACTTGTAAAATATCACATGAAACTACATTCCATCTTATAAAACTCAAGAAATGAACCCTTTCAAATGGCACGAAGAGACTGACTGGAAGCTTATTTTGGTGCCTGGAGGTTTCCACACCCAACCCGGAGCTCGGTTATATTTATCAGTAATGGTGTACCTTTCTGAAGGTGGGGAACGCTCCTTTCAGACATAATGGATATCCATGTGGCAACGTCTGTTCCCTTCCTTTTAACTCCAGCCTCATAGAGGGCCTGGGTGCAAGAAATTAGTCATTACTCCTAACAGTCCATCCTTGATGTTTAATAGGGATCAATGGGGATCGAGAACAATATAATAGAGAAAAATGAAGAAACAAGCATTAAAAATGCAATGTTTAATGTTTAATGCAATGCAGTATTTAAGTTTGGGGATAATTTGTGTGAGTGATCATCCTACAGAAACACAACAATCAAAAACAATTAACATATGGATGTTTCTAATGCTTGCAGGTAGAAAATAACATCTTAAAAATGTCTTGATTCTACTGGGTATGATCATAAAAGTGTTATAACATTATCATATATAACTAATGACTAAACATTGTAATAGAAGTGTTTGGTCTTTTAATAATTGTCGAGATACACTGTAGTAGCACAGACTTGTTTTACTTACTCTGGCATCCTGATCAATTTTCTCATAGTCCACAACACTGCTGGGCGGTTCTCTTATTGTCTACAGAATATGGGAGAGAGACGTTAAAGTGACATGAAACAGAAACAGTAAAACACACAAAAGACGAAGATGGGGGACTCTTGTCTAGCCAACACAAGCCAGGGCCTTTCCATTCCCTTTAGAGATGAAACTCCCTCACCTTCACCAGGGCCAAGAGCAGTTTTCCAAAATTCCCAGAGGTGTCTCCAGCCACGTCCTTCTCCAGGTCTTTCTTGTAGACTGCGGGGAAAACACACATGGAACGTTTTGTTCCTGGAGACAGCCTTTGTCCTTCACAAGAAGGTTATTTTCGGAATGTGGGCTTGTGACTTACATTCCTTGTAGACCTTCTTGATCTCTGCTAGCTCCTCACTGCTGCGAGAGCAGACTATCTCAATCAGGCTTTCCTCATCGGTTCCTAAACCCTGCAGAACAGAGAAAAATCCTACTTAGTTTGGAGTCCTTAGTCCTGAGAATTGAGTCATTTTGCGGAGTGGATGATTTTTATGTCTCCTGAATTTGATGAAGATGTATCATGAGCTATTTGATGAGAGATTATGGAGATGTTAATATTCCTTTCTGATGTGTATTGTTACCAGAATTGTTTAATTATAACAATTAGAATTATGATAATGGTTATTTTGGTGTCTTAGAGCCATGAACTGATGACTGTATCTGCATTCCATAAGAGAGGACTATTACTCCCGGAAATACCCAAAAGTAAACAGATATATTTGATAATATTGATCTCAAGTAATTACCAAATATGAATAGAAATTCTATTTTATATTCAACAAAATATATACATCAGCTCTGTATGAACTATTATTAAGTTATACAGTTTGTGAAATAAATGAAAGGTCCTTTTTAAAACAGCAGAGGGCAGCAAAGATTTATCATTTTCTGCAGATTCCACATCATAAATTGTGCTGTGTTTTGTACCTTGAATACATGTATTTGTAATTCATTCAGTCATCTGACAGAGACCTTAGGCACGTCTCTGATTCATATTAATCAGAACATCAAAATATACAAAAATTTAGATTTACAGTGTCTAACGGGGTTTGAGAGTTTGCCATTTACAAGGCAAGTGACACGGCGTTTATTCAGAGATTGCTTTGGCAGCATACATTACTCACCTTCATGGAGGCTTTCAATTCGGAGGCGTCGTACTGTGATGTGCTCTTCATCAGCCCCAGTATCACTGTCTCCAGGGACCCAGACAGGGCACCTTTCAGAGCAGTGATCATATCCTGAAGACATGAGCGCTTGTTACTGCCTCATCCTAATAGACACGGTAGTGACAGAGCAACGAGACATGACTGCTGATTCTAGGATTGTTCACACAATCTTTGCTCCATTTATAATACTTCTCTCACAAAGGGTACTTTTAGGGTGCCACAATATTCCTACAGTATATGGGAGCTAATCATTTCTTAGCTAGTTTCACTGTAACTAATATTCCCTGTAAGGATATGGAAGGAATGGCAGTGGCGCTTTTCCATTTGGTCAGATGTAGCACCAAAACGAATCTGTGCATCAGCCTGTTCAGCTCTGCTCCCGTCTGCTTACCTTCTTGGCTCGCCTCTCGTAAGCGAAGGCAATGTCCCTCCTTTGCAAGTAGCTGCGCTTGGTCAAAATGTCAATAATGGTCTGCTCATCCACGCCTGAAAGAAGAGCAAAAGAGAAATATGATCTCACGAAAAGCCCTATTGAATGGAATCTTCCAAAATTCCACCGGCATCTATAATTGAAACCCATTAACCATGTACTACAGCACACTGCCACTATTTTAGCACAATGTAAATGAATTAAGAAAGAAAAGATGGAATGTTTCTAAGGCATTAAGATGCACTTGTGTCATAGGTTCTAAGGTTAACACAGGTTAAAATGTATTTTTAATGTGACTTTGCCACATTTCTCTCCTAACAACATTGGTATTTTGATGTGAAGCGTTTTTTTATAATTTCTCTAACACTGGCAGTCTCTTTCTCTGGCTGCACAGACATTCATGTGACTCTCAGCTACACCACGTTATGACAAGAATCCAAATGACAACACTCCTGATTACTGTACTTCTGATTACAAAAAAACTGTAACTACTTTCACACTTTATTTGTGCCCTGTAATGTTTTATTCCTGCTCTGCTATTGCTCTTGTGAAGCTTGGTAAAAAATCACTATCTGATTTTTTTACCACAAGGCCTGTGGTCATGGTGTACTGTAGAACACGCCATGGTCTGAATCATCCTGCTGTTGGGCTGCTGCCCAGGGAACTGTTGTATCCTTGTGGTTAGGGCTGCATGTACAAATGCAGTGTCTCATGGTGACTCAGAAATGCCTGCACCACATTAATGCATTTCATTTTTACATCCTGAAACAGCCTTCTCTCCATAAATTCCCACATCTTTCCATTCCCAACTTAGGATTTAAGTGAAAATTTCGAATCAAGGTTAGAATTGGAGTGCCAAAATTCATTCATGGAAGTCTGGCCCAGGAGCAGTACAGTTTTAAAGAACTTAGCCCTGGTTATAGAAGGGAACTACTGTATCTCTCGAAGCATGAAGGTTAGTGTTACACTGCTTCAAATGACTAACTGTGTGGTCTACATTTTGTCTCCAGACAAATTTTTATCTTCCAGCACTAGGCCTGTATCTCAAGACATCGTTTCTGAATGAATGTTATAAACCTGTAAGATTTAGGAACTGTGATAATGAGGACAGTACGTTTTTTTGAATAAATAAAATTATGTCGTCAAAAGGTACCAGTATTCCTTCTTACCTTTTGTTTTGATAGCGGTTTCTATTCTGGCAGCATCCTTGTCAGCATCAAAGTCAGCGACTGGCACCACAGTAGGGCTTGTGGGTTCCGAAGACTGCAGGTGTAAAAACCAAGGTGAGGAGATATTCAGGGTAACTTTTAAATATTTTTGCTCAAGTGCAGTGTTTGCCTGCCCAGATGTTTCTAATTCCAGAAAAACTCCAGATAATTTTCCGAAATTGAGATTAAATAGTAAAACCTCTAAATTACACATAACTGCCACCCCCCATCTGCACGTCTGTCCTAATTCTGATTGCAAGGCATGTATTTAATTATATATTATTATTATTATACATATATCGAGTATCAGATTTCCACCATAATGAAGTTGCAGATCAAAGCCCGACCACTAAAGGCTGCACTTGATGAGTGACGCCTGTACAAAATGCTGCTTCGTAATACTATGTGACATGTACAAATAAATATGTTTGAACATTCACATACACTGTAAATCACCATTCTTCAGCTGTTCATCTTGTACCAGGCCACAGATGCACATCTTAATTCCTTATTTTTACATTTGTCTCTCAAAGCTCTTAACAGATTAGTCTATTATATAATATTTATACAACCTGTGGAATATATAAACACTATATATATGTGCACTGGGGGGATATGTTTCAAATCAAACTCACAGCTTTGTTGTCTGATTACTGTGTGATCTTGTTTGTGAATGCAATAGAAAAAGTCCATTACAGGTTGTACTTATGTTTAATAGCAGCATTCACTTTATTTTATATATTTGTGCAGATTTACTATTCACTATTCACAGTGAATTCTAGATACTCATTAACTGTTGGTCATTAATAATTACTCTATTACGGTTACTAAATCTCATTGTAAAGCGTTACTAATTTTTTAATTTGTATAACGGACATTCTTTATGAATAGTTTTTTCCTATCCTAAAGCTCTAATCAAATAATAAGTCAATTTGTTCACTTAAAGCACCAGAGGGTTTAAATTCATTCTCAACTGGGACGCAACAGGGACTACTTACCCCACCAAAATTGAGAGTGAGTTGTCCCAGGAACTCGGACACCAAAGCCATGTTTGTGCTACTGCAAAAGACACCAAATAAAATCCCCTGGGTTATGGAAAAATGGCTGCCTTATAAAAAAAGCAATAATGTATGACAGCTGAAAAATGTGAAGTTTCCTAGCTTGACAACTTTAAACTCCTGCTGTTGACTTCTACCCATTGTGCAACAGCTTAACTTTAGAAGCCAAAAAAATCCAAGGGTCACCATATTTTCAGTTGTGCTGTTAAGAGTACTTTCTCCGTTCTCCCATCTGAGTTTTTAAAACCCAATATAGTGCCTTGAAGCACCAGTACCTATACACATTTCTTTATCATCCAAATGAATTGAATCAACCAGTTATGTTAAAGCAGAACAGAAACACAAACTTGAAACAAATTTCCTAACCTTTTATGCCTACAGTTTTTAATTAAACTCAAAGAGCCTCAACAATTTAGATTTTAAAAGATAGTTCAAATGCCATTTTGGTAAATGTTTCAATATAAACAATGAATGTGCCACGTGGCACATTCATTGGAGATGGCTTTTTTCACATCTAGTGGTTATCAGAGGCAGTGGAAGGCTCAGTGTGGACATGTTTGAGCAGAACTCCTGTGTGAGTAAACTGCCGCTGATTGCTAAATTGCTCAGTGAATATGCATGCTTAGCAACCAACAGCTTAGCAACTGATGTTTACACTATACCAGCGTCACTGCACAAAAAGTTTTTTTGCATTACGGATGAATCACACACACACCCTGGTGCAAATGGGTGCTGTTACAAATGTTTAGAACTTGTTAACTTGCACGCTGAAAAACAGTATGAGTTCTGAATAAAGGCTGTGAAAACAAAATTGGATTCTGGATGGAAAAAATAAAAACCACAAAATTAAATCCCTCTGACAATGTTGAGATTCATGGCCAGACAATAAATTGAGAGTGAATGATAGCTGGATTTGATTAATGGTGGATCACGCTTTCTGATGATTCCATGATGGGGTTCCATCTTGGATATTCTTGCTCAGACACTCCTTGATACACCCTTAAAATGGCAACGCCCTGAGGTCTCTGCAGCGTCCTGTGCATGTGAGCACTTACTGAACGAAAGCCTTCCTCTCTCAGAGAGCACATTTAAGCTTCCCTTCATATAAATAACATATTTTCCACACATCAGATTTAGCTAGTACTGTAATCATAGTCTTTAACCTACAAAGAATTAAAACATACTGCAAAGGAACTTAGTTTGCTTTGCAAACTAGTCTGTAAAGCAAAGAAAAAAAAGACAATGAGTTGTAGAGCTCATTTGAAATCAAAGTTACCCAAGATATATTTTTTGGAGAAGAACAAATCAGCAAAATTAATAGCATAAGGTTCAACTTCGTTTAGGTTCCAAGGTACTTTTTAGATTAAACTTTAAAGATAAAAATGAACTCTACTATCACTAGTTTGTGATACAAAACTCCTTCTCAGAGTAATGTTTTTTTAAAAAAACAAAAAAAAACAAAAGAAACATGCCTAAAGGTAGCACCAAAGGAAAAAAGACTAATAAATTCTACTTTTTATATCCTAAATTTAGCCACACAATGTAATTACAGAATTTCATAACCAATACTTTTCCAAGTTGGTTCGTGTGTTTTGGAGCCTTGTGTGGCTCAGATAAGACTCTCAAAAACAATTAGTAACGTATGATAATGCATCAAGCTTTTGTTTGTTAATTCAGCTGTGCAGAATGAGGCCTTACCTCCGTGTGTCTGCCTGTGCTGCTCAAAGAATAGCTCCAGCTATGAAAGCTGTACTGGGTGTGGCGTTTAAATACCAGAGGCTGAAAGCTCATTCAGTTTCCTCCCACCTCCTGCCACAGCCCACTCAGTCGAACAGCAGCTCCTCCAATCCTACACAGCTATTTAAGCCTCATGGTCAAACTTCACACAAAAAAATGCCAGTGGAAAATGTATAAATGTGTACCAAACTTAAACCCAGCTGTTTTTATGCCTTCTTTTCATTTGGGGTCAGAACACAAAGGATGTTACAGTTTTGGAATTCGATGGCAACAAAGGAAAGCACATGAATGTCTCAGTTTCTTGTCTTCATGCAGAAAAAGGCCAGTTTCCAATGAGTGGAGGAGACAGCTCTTTCTTGATTTCTAATGATATACCTTCATTTGTGTAGACCTGCTGGATTTCATTCCCCACAGACTGCTGATATTCCAATGTTGATCACAGTCTTGGTCTAAAGCAGAGGATGAATTTATACAAACTCCCACTGACTGAAAACATAAGAAAAATTCGGAATCACTTCATTAAACCTTTTTTGTCTAAGGAATATTTTTACTTTTTACACCCATTATGTGGAATCAGTTGTCGCGGCTGAGCCAGTCACACCTGCAGTCACATGGTTTAAGGCTGTGGTGGTCTTCCCGGGTCCTGGGAAATCAGTCTCTTCTGGGGTTTGCTCCAGTCAAACTATTGTAAAAGGCTGCTTTCAATTTTCTATCTAGGGTACATTTTTAAACACACCTTCAGCTTTTAAAGCATTGAATTCAATCTATAATAAGAATCATCCCTGCTTTATTTTGCGAGTTCAAGAACTCCCATTCTTTCAGGTGTCTTGCCTCAAATGTACTTGTTGCACCTCTGCAAAAGGAAACAAATATTATAGGGGGATTTTTGAAACACTTATCTGCCCATCATAAATGCACAACCTATTAATGGTTGTTTAACAGGTTTGTGTTCAGGCTGACAGATGGATTCTGTTCTGGAACTGTGAAGCCTACAGTGTCAGAGTGGGCGGGCGGGTGGTGTTCGGGCAACAGAGATCGCAGAGTAAGAGGAACACTCTGGACTGATAGCTGCTAATTAGGGTCTCCCCGCCCCCAACATTACTTCAGTTCTCATTCTCAACCCTCAAGTTTATGTTTATTTTTACAAATTTAGTGACTCAATCAAGACAACCCACGCATACGATTCCCTGCTGGGAGGGGCACCTAGCCCGCTTTCCTTTGTATGTTGTTTCTGGCCAGACATTTTCAAATTGCCAAGAAGCCCTCAAGGGTGTTATATTACTCTACAGTTAAACTGTATTCACACACACACGCTTGCCCCAAGATTCCTCCAAAGGAAAACCAAGATTGCAACAAACAATCCTTTAATACATCCTTCAATTTACAAAAGAATTGTACACCTTTCAATAGATAATACAGCTTTTACTTCAGCTTAATACTGGGAGACATCAGTCTTGTGGTTCTCAATGGCATCTTCAGGGTCATAACTAGAGACTGATGATTACAAAGAGTTAAGCATCTTAACTGGAAACATTTTGCAGTCATGTCCATCTGTAGCTGGAGTAAGGTCAAACTCAGCTGGCGTCAGAGGCACACGGATTCAAACTGTCTTAAACAGTGCAAAACATACCACAGATCTGGCACAATGTCCACAAGAAGCACAATCTCTTTAAAATCAAGGCAGAATTGTTCCCTTTCTGTTGTGGAACAAATAAAAAACACAACCTACATCATAAGAGAGATTACATATTCAGAATTAAACAAATGTTCGTCTCCCCATTTCCATGGGAAACTAACAGCTGTCGGTACCCACCTATTGCAGAATATAGAAACGTTTCCCACAACTTTTTAAGTTTGCTCTTCTTTAGGTGCATCATTTTTGGAAAGGTATCAGATCGGCTGACAAATTATTGAAAACAATCTGCCTCATATTTTAGCTAAATCTGACAAGACCAAGAACTTGATTTACAATAGCTGAGATTCTGCACAGACATGCTTGCGAAATGTGTTTGCAAGTATATGTGAAGACGGGCTTCATAACATTCTCCAGCTGGTCAAGCCAAAGTGTCAACTGAGTAAATGGAGTCACATGAAACACGTTTCCTAACTTTAAAAGTGCTATTAAAAGAAATCACTTCCTGAACAAAATAATCCCTCTGTCTTTTTTTTTTGGTTTAGAATTTAGAAACCCTCTTCTGCAGGGATGGGTTTCCATATTCAGCTTTACTTTTATACGCGCTATGCTGTGGCTTGTGCCTTCTGCTGTAGTTTCTTCTGCCTCCTCTTCAGAGCCCGATTAGCTCGCTTTCCCTTGTTCTTCTTCTTCTTTTTGGCTGCCCCGCCCGGCTGCTGGCCTGGCTGAGCTGGCGGCTCGCTGCTCTTTGTTTCCATGGCGACAGCCGTTCCTGTGCCGGCACTGGGCTCGCTGCCTTTGGCCACACCCACCTGAAGAAGAGGAATTCAAGGAACAGCGGAAAACAATGTGGGCTGGAGCTCTTCTGCAACACTGAGCAGCACACAGAACCCGAGATGACGGGAGTTTCAGGACCTGGTTAACTTTTCTGGATCTTTTAGTTTAAGGATTATAGTTCACTTAAAGCCAAGGAAACCACAATATTCTTTGTGTTGTTGTAGATCATTCTGTCTTTTAAGCCTTTGAATAGTTTTAAGGTAGGCATCTTGTTTGAGTCAACATGATAGCGATTCAAATGTTAAATGTGTCAACTAGTTTGATTTTTAGATCTGTGTTACATATTCATATTAAACTCAAAGCAGTGGAAATGCTTTTATTAAGGGAAGCAAAGCATTTTGTTGTATTCAAATAATGTTGTGACAGATACAGAAAAGCTTAGTTTGTGTAATGGAAATTCTCAAAGAGGCATACAAAAAACCTTCTCCTAATCTATTAAATACAGGGATTATTTTGTCTAAAACAGGGATCACAATACAGACAGGTTACAATTACAGGCATATGCACAGACTAGTAATACATAACAGCTGCAGTATGGCCATTCAAAGAAAAAATATAAAAAACACTTGTGGCTCAATGTCATTTATTGACAGAGAATAATTCAGAATTTAAAGGAAATTAATTTTCACTTTCAACTCCACAGTTTCCAGTCTTTCAGAGCATGCAGTATGGAAGTGCCACAAGAGTTAAACTGCATCTTGGCTTTGTTTGAGGAATGTCTCACAGTTTCCAGATTCAAGCCCAGTGACTCACACCACCTCATAAACTTTATCAGGGGCTGAGGCCCTGCTGGCTACTCAACTAGGCCTGATGACTGCTGATTTTGCAACAGGCCTCTTTGTGCATAAAAAGTTTAGTTTCTGAATCCTTTTCACTATGAAGTAATCATATGAAGAGAATGATTGCATAACAGCCAGCAGAAAGTATGCTGTAGGTCAAATATGATAAAGATAGATTTATCGTGGTATGCTAGGTTCAGTGGCTGATTTTCTTTAAATTGACTAATAGTCATTGACTATAATAATGAATTAACCAAAAAACATTTATTGGAGTTACTGCAGCTGTTTATCTATCTAAACAACTCAGCTCCTAACAACGCTGACAAATCACAGATTCACAGGGAGGGGTGAATCTATCATCATTTAAAGGATACACTCTTAGGAAATGTGCAAACAAAATTAAAGCAAAGTACAGAAAAAGCTGAGGCTACAGCAGTTTACACAGACTTTTTGGTGAACTAATCATTGATTGTTCTGCACATTTTCCTCTTGGTGTTAAATTTAGGTAACATGCATACACAGAAAAACACTCCCTGTAGTATTTTCCTCTCTCCCATCTGCAGTTATAATGTAATAATAATGTAATGTTTCTTTATTAGCCCTATACAATTTCGTGCATTAGGAATTTGTCTTTTCGCATACCCCAGCTTTTCTCCATGGAGACACAGACACACAGACAGGGAGAGAAGCTTGGGGTCAGAGCGCAGGGTCAGCCATTGTACGGCGCCCCTGGAGCAGTTAGGGTTAAGGGCCTTGCTCAGGGGCTCAACGGAGTAGGATTCCTCTGCCGGCTGCAGGATTTGAACCGGCAACCTTCCAGTCACAGGCGCAGATCCTGAGCCACAGAGCCACCACTCCGCCCAGCGGTGGCTTAGATAATGTGAATATGAATTTCAGACAGGAGCTCAAGCTCTGATCTCGCCCATTCCCACCAACCGATAAATAAACATCACGCCTCCTGCTCTCTCCTTGTGTGATTTATTTTTGCGTCCCTCACTCTACCCCATCGTCTTCCTTGCGGCAGCTTCATTATGCGGGGCAGGTTCCGACAGTCTCGTTCATTCGGCCAGGCTGTTCTTCTCAGCCGAGTTACCCTGCTAAAACTCACTGTGCATATCACACCTCTTCCGATTGGCCTCACTACAGAAACCAAAATTCTCAAAAACAAACAGTAGCATCACCATACCTAAGGCTCCCATTAAACCAAATCCCTTTTATATTACAATATGAAGCTCTGATCATAAAGGTGGCTCAGTCCTGTGTCACAGACTTTAAAGTAGCAATACCACTTTTAATGCCCAGACTCTGAAAATAACTCAAATATTTGCTACATGGTTTTATTTCTTCTTAAAGACATCAGGAACGCTTGGCATGGTAGACTACTCCTTTTTAGCAGGGTACCTAAGAGGGCTTCAGTGTCATCTCTGGAATACCTTTCACTCTTTCACTCAAGGACACATCCTGAACAAGCCTTTAATGATATAAATCAGGTCGCCTCATCAGCCAAACAAGAAACACCACATACTTCTCTCCAGCAGGGATTCCGTGGTAAGGGACAAGGAAATTCTAGAATGCCATGAATTGAATTCCTGAATTAATTCCAAATCTAATGGACACAATTCATACTTGCATATTACCACTACACACACAACAACGACACTGACAGTTAATTTTTTTTTAAAGTGTCACACTAATTTGCTAAACTAATAAGCAACATTGAACTGTTAACTTGAGTGTACAATCTTCAACATTCACTGGCAGTGTACCATGGGTCAGCAATTCAAGAATCAATACCCTGTACCCTTTTTCATGGATAATCAATCAGTGGAGTCTCTTGCAAGAAATAATCGAACTGGTCTGGGTCTCGCACACAGGGAGCTCAAAGGTTACCAGACATCCAATTAAAAGATTTTTCTTTAAGAATAAAATTAAATTTACTATCAGATTATTTTTCTTTCAGTACTGGAATTGAACACATCAAGTATTTAAAGCTTGGGGAAATGATTTATTTGGGTTCAGGTAGCCAGCAGCCATATCACCCTGCAACTATACTGTAAAAAGGGTGCCGATCTTCGGATGAGACGTAAAACTGGTCCTGACTCTCTGTGGTTATTAAAAATCCCAGGGTGTTTCTCGAAAAGAATAGGGGTGTAACTCCGGCATCCTGGCCACATTTCCCACTGGCCCTTACCAATCATGGCCTCCTAATAATCCCCATCTATGAACTGGCTTCATTACTCTGTTTTCCTCCCCACTGAGAGCTGGTGTGTGGTGAGCGTTCTGGCGCACTATGGCTGCCGTTGCATCATCCAGATGGTGGAGGAGAGTCCCCATTACCTGTAAAGCGCTTTGAGTGGAGTGTCCAGAAAAGCACGATATAATTATATGCAATTATTTGTATTCTAATTGTGAATTCTAATTTATTTAATGAAAAGACATGAACAGGTATCGGACACTCACATTATGATGTGGTGCATTTCACGCAAACTGTCAACAAACCACAGATTCAACGGTGAAGTGAATTTTTTTTTTTACTGGTTTCCATTCAATGTATAATCTCTTACCTTGAATCTCAAACAACAAAAATGACATACCTTGTGCCCCTGCTTCTTGGCCGCGGGCCGGGGTGGAAAGGTGCAGGGGACGCGGCCCTGTTTAACATGGAAGTCCAACACGCGAGAGGAGTCCACCGGCACCCAAGGCACAACACCGCTGGAAGGAGCCCGAGGCGGAGAGCTGTGGGCCTCGTGCAGGTTCAGAGTTGCGCGTGTCACCTTCATCCCATCACACACTCTGGAAATGGTGACCAAAGCCTCTCCAGCTCTGTGGCTCAGCAGATACCTCCCCTCCTGCAAGCTGTCGAGGAGACTTACTTTCAACATTTCAAGCTCTTGCTGCAAACAGATGATCCTAATAAAACGCTCGCCCTGTAAAGTGAATTGTTTTATTTAATGCAACTTTCTTTGACACATTCTAATTGCTTTCTTGGCCTGACCAGGGGTTGAGACAGCTGCACCATTTAAAGGAGTAAATAGTTATTGCTCCTTTTTTCAGGATCAAACAAATTTAATCCTAAAAGGAACAATGCCTAGATTCGCCTAAATTGTTCATAACAGGAGACATGATATATTTTGAAAAACTAAACTACCAATTTAAAAACAAGACCACAAAGGACTTTTTAGTACAAAAAAAAAGCTAATCTTGAGACAGAGGCTGTTCAAGATGGACAACATGCTGAGGCTTGGTGTGCTTGGTACCTGGTTCTGCATCCCGAATTACACTTAAGAATGCACTATCATCATCTGAGGACAAAACATTAGCTGCAGAAAAGTCCTGAACCTCCAAAAAAGAAAAGAAACCTCCAAAACTTCAGTTTATTAACACTGGAATTTGCATGATTTTAACAAGCCATTTAAAACCTTCATTTTGAGGTTGGATTACTACATAAACATGTATGTGCTCATAACAGAACTAGTCAATGGCTTCATAGTCACCTGACTTGCACACTACCAGCATTTATGTTAACAGGATGACTAAAATACACAATCTGTAAAGGCAAAACATTGGTATAAAGAAATTACACTTACCCAAGAATCTTGTTCAACAAATGGTGAAGTATGTTCAACATGTTTGCTGGTCTAAATACAGAGATACAAAATTAATACAGAATACTAATGAAAATGACCTCATTCAAAGAGACATTTCTTTTATTGATGACTTCAAAGAAAGAAAACTAGACTTGGATAACTGTAATTGTACATTGTGCACATACAAGTAAATTACTACAGTACTTATATGGACTTCATAGAATCAAGATCATACATCCTGATTTTAATTTAGCAAAACATGACAATTACAAATCACATAAATATAGCATGCAGCTATATTTGATCATCTACAGGCAATCAAGGAATATAGAAATTTTGAAAGGGAGAGATTAAAAATTCTATATTAAAATTGGACCATGAACATAGAACACTCTTATGGGAAGAAACACTTGTAAGACATTCAGGTTTTTATTTTCATGTATCAAGTCTGGCATCAAGACATATGGTACTGACTGTACAGAATACTCACTTGAAGTCAACAAATGCATTTGTACTCGAGTCTGGTAAAAACTCATCCAGCATAAACAGCTTTGATGTAAGTGCATCAATGTGTCCTGCAGAAGTTTAAGAGAGCACAAATACAGGACTGTAAACTAAGGTTTCGTAGCAAGAACAGAAATGCAGTTTTCAAGAATATCAACGGTATTCGTGCAAATGTCTGCAGACATTCTCCGAGCGATATCCTTACACAACCAACCCTTAGCCTTTAGCATTTTCCATCCCCAATTACATGCATTGTGTGGATTCAACCATTGCAAGTATTGTAGTCCACTTAGCTTTTTGCATAACCAGAGTCTAGTAGTTTAAAAGGAAATGACACATGCCTGCTTGACTGTGCTTCACAAGGTTTTGGATAGCAGTGTTGCTCACGGAGAAGACAGTACAAGTGATACTTAAGAATCCTTCAAAATACTGTACATTTTTAAACATTAATATATGGTAATACAAAACTTTACTACTGTAAAGATTCAGATTAGACATTTAAATATGAAGTCCTTTTCCCTGCACTGTAAAAAGCAACTTGTAAAAAAAAACTATTGTGTTTTTTTTTTACATCAGTATTTGAATTCAAGCATTCCACTAGGGAGAAAAAAAAAGTTAACTGGAAAGGAAAAAAAACTTGTTGAGGCCTGTGCTCTGCATTGCGTCATTCTTGATACTTCACCGATCCACACCCTTGAAAGTGAAGTCAGAAATTCCTGTCTTCTTCTAAGGCTGTCATGACCTTATGTATTTAAGAAATTCTTTTCGACCTACAGGAATACGGTTTATACAAATGCTACAACACAGGCTAGTATAAGTTCACAGGCTAGTATATTAAGCAATGAAAGAAAGTCAGTAAAATAAAATGATAATAGCTCAAGTTCATCTTTCTGTTAAAAATCAAAATTAAATCAACTAAAATACAGGATTTGTCTACCTTTAATGCCTTTGAAGGATTTTGTAATCATGTTTTAAAGGATATCTTTGGGTCAGTGTACTTACTAGTACAATGTGCAGCATGTAGGGTGTGTCAGGTGATTAGAAAATATCTTTAACTGGCGCTTAGATGATCCTGAGACCCAAAGGGTGTGTAACGTTAGCGTCACAACTCTCCCAGTCTCAACAAGGATCGTTTATAGTTCAGACAATTCATCAAAGTGAACTTGCAAATCACACACCCAGTTTAGTAGGAAAATTAGAGGAGGAGCTGAGCCCTTCATGCAACCCTTCAGATTTAATTGTTAGGTGCTAAAGTGATGTTTATACTAGATGAGATGGATCTTTCTACAGATACTTCTTTGCAACATGGTGTTTAGGCCAGGAATTCAATGTGAACACTAACAAAGGAACATTACTAAGATAAAGATCTTAGATAACTGATACTATGAAAAAGAACTATTGATTTAAAAAAACAATATTCCTGTAAAATCCAGACCATAAATGACGTATAGAAGAAGCAAAAAGACCGTAAGATTTTTCACCAAGTGCTTGAATTCCAGTGTAATTACTTAATGACATTAAGGGCTCTGTCAGAGCCCTTAATGGAAGAAATAATCTTGCCAGAAAAAACTAAAATCAGGGAGTTCACCGGCAATTATAATGGAAAGAAATAAGACACAACGGTGAAAAATGATCTGCGGTGACGAAAAAAAAAAAACATATCAAACTAGCAAAGAAATATTCAATTTACACAGTTGGCAAGAAGAAAAAAGAACGCTGAACAGGAGGCTATGTAAGCATAAAGAAGTGAAAAATAAAGCAGACGGAAGCTGTTCTAGGCGTTGTGAGCAGTGCAGTGTCCTCCTATCTTTAGACTGCAAGTGAAAGACTGGCAAATGGCAGGGCCTGGCGGAAATCTAAGGCACTAGAGTAGAGTACCCAACACAGGAAACACAGGAACCCCGCCACACAGCAGGGCTCTTGGAATAACATAACATAACATCACTTTATTAACCCTTTACAATTTCTTGCATTAGGAATTTGTCTTTTCGCATACCCCAGCTTGCTCTCCATGAGACACAGACACACAGACAGGGAGAGAAGCTGGGGGTCAGAGCGCAGGGTCAGCCATTGTACAGCGCCCCTGGAGCAGCTGGGGTAAAGGGCCTTGCTCAGGGGCCCAACGGAGTAGGATTCCTCTGCCTGCTGCGGGATTTGAACCGGCAACCTTCCAGCCACAGGCGCAGATCCTGAGCCACAGAGCCACCACTCCGCCCCAATTCTGAACTACAGTGGAAAAAAGTTTAGAATTCTAAACTTTCTTAGAATCCTAAACTAACTTAAAATTCTAAACTAACTATCTTAGAAGTTGAAAATTCTAAGATACTCTAAAGACAGGAATGATTGCTGGTGTTGTGCAGCTCAACAAAACTGCTGTGCACAAGAACACATATAAATTGTGTACACAGCAATATAATTTAGAAAAACTAAAAATACGAATTTAGAACCAGTTTTAGGGTTTACATACTAAGACAGAACTCATTATGATGAGTTGTGAACTGTTGTTAATGTTTGTTTACACAGAGGAAAGTGTTAACATAAATGAATCCTCCCAATTAACACAAGTATTGTTTTATTTGAGGTTTACGCAATATCTTGATAAAAGAAAAGATTAATATGAATTTTTCTTGTGTAAAAGCATATCAGCACATAAGAAGATGATGTGCACAATAGCCACCAATAAATCTGCGCACAAGCTATGAATGTACAGTTAATATCACATTTGGCAGTGCCATCATACCACACAGGAAAAAGGATAACTCACTTCCTGCAATTCAGCTAATCTCCCTTTCAAGGTCTGACAGACTAATGTAAAAAACACAGTAGGTATAGCAACAATCTCAAACAAGCTAAAAACAGTCACAGCAGTGCAATGAGCGAGTCATCTCAAGGAAAACAATTGCAGTACAGCAAACTTTAGTCCTTGTATGTTTGATTCACTCAGATATTCCTGCTTCTGCTTGACCAGGCCTGAAGTCTTTGGTCTCTCCAATCTTGTCAACGATTACCAAAAACAGTGGAAAAGAACAAGGCTGCCTTCATTTTTCAGTGGTTTACATGGAAAAAATGAATCTCAAAAACACAGAAACCCGAGGCTTCAGCAAAGCAAAGCCACAAATCTGGCATGTGGCACAGTTCCAGCTTTTCATCACACTTTTTCTGAGAACAAAAATCAATCTGCCCACTACCAAATAAGGCATATGACCTTAGTAAACCCATTATTTCTATGAGATACTTATCCATTGTTTTGTTTTATAAAAAACAGACCATAAATTGTGGAAATCAAGTAATTACAAATAAACAGTATCATCCAATCTTAGTATAATCGTAGTAGTCCGAACTCTTGACTGTCATGAAGCTATGAAAATATCTGTAACCAATCATGCATGTTTTACTAGTTGAAGAGATCACAAAATCGTAAAAAGTAACTAATCTTGTCAATTCAAAGACTCCCAAAAGTATAATCAGCACTGGCAATAATTCCAAAGCCTTACCTATATAAAACATGGTGTTGGAATGCAACAGTTTTTCCACCCACAAGCGACAAGCTTCACTTTTTGTCAGAATTTCCACTCCATGGCCGAGCTGATATTCCAACTTGGGTAAAACATAAACAGGAAAAACCTGTGGGGAAAAAAACAAGAAAATAATACAGAATAAGTTGGTAAAATTACTGATTTTAAACTCCGTAAATCCGAATAGAAAAAAATAACCCATTTGATAACATGTATTAAAATGAACAATTACCATCCAGTAAATGTTTACAAGTATTGCATTTATTAAACTTACACATACCGTTTATCACTGCAGGATTTTGCCTTCAGAATTTAGGAACATCAAAATATAAAGTAAGCAGCAAAAATTTTAATGCACAGTTATAGCAGCCAGATAACTGGGATCTGTTAATTTCTTTAAAAATGTACAAAAAAAAACAATGACGATATCTGGTGATTATAACGATGCCTATTATATTTTGTACAGTGTGGAATCAATACAGCAAATGTAAAAATTGAAGTAAACTGTATATAAGGGACAAGTAATAGGTTTATTCCATGCTGAAAAGAGAAGACACCCGAAGAAGGCTCCACGGCCGAAACGTTGTTTCCTTTCTTCTCTTTTCAGCTGGAATAAACCTTTATTTGTTCCTTTGCAGCCAACGCATGCTGACACAGCTACCCACCTAAACTGTATATAGCTTTTCTTGTATTTGGACAATTCAATAGTAACACCAGACCACTTCTTCCTGTAAATAAACCTAATTACTTTATTTGCTTAAAAGATTTACATAATTTTATATAAGAATCTGTAATTACATGCAAAACATTTTAAGCATAGTTACAGTGTGCACATCTGCTTAAATCTTTAATCTGTACCACTTCATGATAGTCATCACTGCACTATGAAAGGATACAAAAACAAACAAAAAACCTTTAGAGGCCTAAAGTTGTTGATAATACTTAAAAATTCAGCACTGTAAATATTTCAAAACAATTTTACAATTTAAAGGACTGAAAGCAGAATTTAAGAGGAAGCTGAAAAGTTTCATGGGAAACTACATCATATTTGCAAAAGGGGAGTGGGGGGATGTAGATCGAGCTGAGCCAAATTTTAACAAAAGCTTGACTTATCGGTACATTAAGAACACTGTTATTTTTTCCCTAAAAAAAAACTAGAAACACACAAGCTGAGACAGATTCTGCACCTTGGAAACAGTCCTTGTTCTGGTGTTACTTTCATCACAACATTAAAGAGCTACAGGCTCACGTAGCTCAAGTCCAGACGTTTGTTTAGAGAACTGATACTTCCTGCCCAAGTTTTGGGAAGGAAAATTTAAAGCACCGTTTTTGAGTTTTGCAATCTCCACACTGAACAATAAAGGAACAACTTCACACAAAACAACGGAGCGGAATAATTTATGGAACTGAAGCTGGCTTCAGAAATTATAAGTATAAGAAAGGCAATTTGTATCTTTTCATCACAGACAGGAGTTCTGTTCCAGTTCTCAGAAACCGGGTGATTTTTGGACCTTGCAAACGGAGACCCTCCATATAACCACCAGACAACGTAGCAGCCTGCTCTCAGGAACCACAAGATGCGAGCTGGCAAGATCTGGTGCAAGTTCACACACTGGTGCGTGAATTGTGTTGGCACCTTAGAACAGAAATACTGCGCATTCAAACACGTCAGACAAAACATCCTAAAACTAGAGAGTCTAGCTCATCAGAAGGAAAGAAATACAACCTTGGAGAAGCCCCGCTTAGTCTTGGCCAGGGCTGACTCGATGGTGCTCCTCACCAGCAGCAGCATATCCCCCAGGCTGTAGAGCTGGTACAGCAGGTTGCCCTCCTGCGGAGCCCTGTATTCTTGGTCATCCTCCTCCACTGCTGACAAGCTACCTTGAAGCAACCCTGTTAAGCAAAACACACGCAATCTTAACAGATACATAAGCTGACAAATCAGGAGACAACTCCACGCTTCCAATGATGAACTAGCTTTTTGGGTGAACGACTCCCATTAGAAGTCATCCATTATGAATGCAGCCACACTTTAATGAACGCACTACAAGAGCTAAGATTTTACATACTGTGTTGTCTAAAATAAGTGCAATATACCATGTACTGTACCTAACATTACTTTTCAAGAGCAATCATTTTTTTTCCCAAAAACCAAGAAGCCCTGTCTTCTTGTACAAGATTAATTAAATTTGAACATCCTCTTAGAAGAAGAAACAGATAAAAAATAGTTACCCTCTACAAGCAACGACTGTTATTTTATACATAATATAGTCATTCCTACTGGCCTTTTCATTTAACAAGCTGTTTTTCACTCTTTTGAGCCAGACTCTCATAAAGCATTGCCATAATTATTCTTTTCTTGCATCTTCTCAGATGAAGAATTTACTTTTTACTTTTTATTACATTAGAACTTCTTTATAATAAATGCTTGTGTGTGTTAAGTGCATATCTTACAGAATACTGCCTAATGTTTATGTACTGGCTAATGACTTCAAACATGTTACCTGAATAATTAACCAGGAATGTTAATGTTTTCATACTTAGGTACTGTTCTGTGCTGTATTAAAGTTTGGGTTTTTGAGGGAGCGTTTCTGAGTTGTCCAGACCAACTCGAGATTATAACATGGGAAGTAATGGGAATTTAATTTCTGTTATGAGTTCTCATTTTTTGAGGAACGAATTAAGCTTCTATAACGAGGGACTGCTGTACTGTTAGATCTAGAATTTGAAGTCTAATAAAAATTAATTTTCAGACATTTCCCTTGCATTCTTTTAGAACTCAGATGACTAAAAGAGTTTTAAAAATGAATGGTAACTGCACACCTTTAAGGGAGGAACTTCAGGATTAGTACGTTAATTAATGATCAGGATACTTCAAACCCGTTCTAATTATTTAAAACAGACCCTAAAGATATTTTCAAATGAACAGCCGCAGGAAAACGGCAGAAAGACTGATCAGCTGCAATTGTGAGCTGAGGATAATGTTACAGATGTTTGCATGATTACTAAAATCTGGAGGAGGTTTTTTTTTTTATAATATCCAGCTGGTGTCAGCTGGCAGAGTTTTATTTATGTTTTATCTCCAGCTGCAGGGCACAAAAAAAAACCCTCCATCAACATTTAAAACTATCCAGGTGGAAACAATTACAATACTGTACCAGTAAGCAAGGAGAGTTCCAGAACCCAAATAATTCATTGGAAACATTTTGAGAAAAGACTGCTGTCAAGGCATCACAGTCGATAAAGAATTCTTTTTTAATATGACGGAAATTAATCCAAGAAAATATTTCCTCAAACAAAGAAATTCTTATTAATAAAAAGATCCAGCTCTTATTGTATAACAGCAGACATGAAGAATGAATATAACTTGGAGAATCGCTACTGCTTTCCTTGCCGACAAGCCATCGAAGAAGACTCCTCCTTTTCATCAGTTTTCCTTAAATACTTTTTTTCCCCACCCACTCTTTCTCACCCCATTTCAGTCTACAAAAACTAGTCCCGCACGTAAAACCAAGCATGGCTGCTCTTACGTTTCTGAGGTGGCAAGGCCTGAGGGCAGTCAGCATGTGGGGCCGCAGGAGCAGCCAGGGCAGCTCCAGTGGTCCTCTGGCTGGCCTCCAGGAAGGATGAAACACAGGCCTTCACCAGCGGCCTGGCGTGGCTCTGGGCCGTAGCTGGCAAGCTATTAGTATTGGCTTGTGGCGACATGGGCTCCTGTGTTGCCTTTGAGCTGGGCTTCAGCAACGCACACTGCATCTTGAGGATCTGCCCGAGCTGGTCACAGTCTTTTGATACACCTGTTTTGGGCCTCTTGAGTGCTCTCCTGATCCCTTTCGTGCCCGTCGAGGCAAGGCTCTCTCTCCCGTGCTCGGGAGAAGGGGACCTGGGGGTGTCTGGCACAGGCTCCGGAACCTGTGCGGGCCGCTCAGCACTTGCAGAGGCCAGAGAGAGGCTTTCATCGCCTTTCACCGAACGGGCGCGTGCGAGGGGATCATCGATCACTAGACGCTCGTCGTCAGAATCCGCATCAGAGGAGAAAAGGTTTGCCTTGGACACTTGTTTCTGCTGCATTACAGGCGATCTTGCAGAGCTTGAACAAACCGTTGTCGTACCAGAAGCATCGGGTTCCATGGTTTTGCAATCCACTTCGTCAGACTCCTTGCTTATACTTGTGTCGTCTAACGAACTGTCAAACGTCGAAGAATCCTGGAAATCAATCCAGGAGTCATCTTTAGAGGATGTCTTCCCTTTGAAGTCCAATTTAGAATCTGGGCTCTTGAGGTCTTCTGAAGTAGTCGCAGGGCTCTTTCCCAATTGTTTTGTGGCATCACTCGACTGGGACCCCTCCTGTGTTTTACAAGATGCAGTTGTCTTTAGATTCTTTGAAGTACTTTTGGAATTTGACATCTTGGAGGAAGAAGAAGATTCTCCAAACGTTTCCAGGTCTGTGAAGTCAGCCTCAAAGGTAACTTCCATATCATCAAAGGATACAGGTCTTCTGTCCTGGAGAAACATGCCAGATTACTTCAACAATGCACGAGGTTACTGAATTACAAAAAATGGTTATTTTCTCCACAATTAAATATCCAAAAATCTTCACAGTTTTAACATAAACCAATTTTATAAGCATGCTTCTGTAGTACACATGAAACAGTTAAAATTTGTTAATAACCCCTGAATGTGAAACTTGGATACATTATTTTATACAGCATTTACTATGTTGTCTTTGAAATCAGATTAAAAGTAACACACAAGCATTTATAAAATACCAAAGCTGGAATTTGGATTTTACAGGGAAAAAACTTAAGTCTTCTTCTGTCAGTTTGTACTATGTGTTTATGCCATTTTTATTAACTTTTACAAACATTTTAAGGTTTTCTAAAAAAACATACATAGATGCACTGAACCATGCACTGAACCATCTTCATAAAAAGCTGCAGAAAGAGTCTTGCTCAATATATTTAAAAAGGCTTCTCCCCATCTCCGTTAGGTTAAGGCTACAGTATGTATGCTTATGGAAGGCTGCCATCTACAAACAAAAGCAACCAAACGCGAGAAGATAAACTGCACTTACTGTCCAGGGAACCACAGGATCGAGAGTTGTGTTATTGAGCAGCACCTCAGAAACCTGCTTTAAAGAGCCACTCTTCAACAAAAGATGTATGCTTTCCTTGTGGAAAATCTGATTTTTCTCCCTCACAGTTATTTCTCTCTTCAATAAGGGAGAGTCTATAAAAACAACTTTCTTCACACTTTCACCTGGAAGACAAACTGGAACTCAGCTTTGTTTGAAGAATGCACAGTCTTCTCTTAAGATGTTTATTCATTCTTAACAAAAATATGCAAAGTACAGGCATCAAATTAAACTAAGAGTGTCAAGTTGTTAATAGGAAATAAAATGCATTCATTCTAGACACCCAGATGGGTTATCAGTTCTACTTTGTCTCCACTGGTTCATTTCTTACCTTCCCCAGAAATCTTCTTGACACATAGTGGTAACTCCCAGGAGTCATTGTAGTCTGGCCCATGGTTGTTCAGAAGTGTATAAAGTGCCTGACTTGTCATAGATACGTGAGGGCTGTATTTCATACAAAGACTTTCAGCATTCATGTCACTGCTGATGTCCTAAAAAAATGAATATTATTGTCTTTGCATTATAGTATTTTCACTGTATATATAATAATATTGTACAATAATGACTGTATTTGCATTTGTCCAAAGCTTTCAATCCCTGTGGATCTAAGCATTTTTACAAGCAGTGATAACTGAGATCGTGTTACAGTTGGGCAAGACAAAAGGCATAATATGCAAAGCTTCTACATTTTTTTCATTAATTTTTCAGACCAACACAAAGACTTTTTGAATTCTTTGAACCAAGCTGTCCTTAAAATGAAAGCAATCATGGAAATAAATCCTGCTAATTCGAAAATTTGTCAATCTCTAGGATATTTTTTTCCTTTTTTTAACCTCATTTCTTACTAACATGCATATTCCAACGTGCACGTTTAGTTCTAAAAATAAATGAAGATGGTTTTTGCTGCCCTCTGGTGGAATTTCTGCAGATCTACAGGTCTACAGCTAAAAACAGACACCAAAATCGGTGTAACAGAATTTACAATACAAATAAATGCTAAATCAATAGCCACCAACAACAACGTTTGGAAAAAGAAGAATAAATTCTTATTTTTACAACTGTATTTCAATGTTTGTTTTACTCTTAGACATCACTACCTCTACAACATTATTAACTGAAACTGATGAAAGAGCTGAAGCATATTACAAAGAATAGAACACAAATATAAATAAAATATGGTGTTCCCCTTTAGAGATATTAACAGTGAGACCATGTGATAAAGGGAAGGTTCCTGTCTCATACATACTGTGTGCGCAATGCAAGCTTTCTTCTCGGGAGGAAATTCTGCCGCCACACTCTCATAATCTGTTGCCATTTGGATGCCTTTGGCATTCAGGAGAGGCTTTGCCTTGAACATCTTTACCTGACCCTAGAAAAAAACGAAAATTACCTCTGTAATATCAGTGTACCTCTAAAAGCATGTTAAGAAAGTCCCTTTGGAAAAAATTAATGAAGTTTTTTCCCCCCCAACATTCTGTTCATACAAAATACCCCATTACTAATTGTGTGCTGTTTCCTGGGGAATCCCAGTCATAGTCAATCAGCAGTATTAACACTTTAAACCTCAAGAACAATAAGTAATTCGAGGATAAATAGAACCTTAATTTTAAGAAACATTATTCTTTCATTTCACCTAACATTGTCATTGTGCTTTTACAGCTGCAGTTGCACAGAACTTTCACAAACATTGACACAGACTTACCAGACTAAGAAGATGTTTTTCAAAATTCAAAGATAATTCTTGGCTAAATTTGCCTCCTGTCATGCTTGTCATTTCATGAATGACATAAACCTCCGGGTAATTCTTCACTTTCTCACTACAAGCTCTGAGATACTCCTGTTCAAGACAGGGGACAGAAATGCTATGAAACACACTGCAGTGAACATCGACAAGAAGGCATGTCAAAGATTACAGCACACAGGAAGACCCACAACATTCTGCGATTCCACGGAGCTACAGTATACCTCGGAGTAGCGGGCTGCGCCTTCTGAAATGCTGTTATAATCATCTTTGCAGATCCTTGCTGCGTTTTGCAGAAACTTCATGTACTCTGGCACTTCGATTTGCACGAGTTCTTGCAAGCGCTGGAATAAACATATTTCAAATGTTGAGAAAACAATGAAATTCATTATCGTAATTTCCGATATCTAACTGAGGGATGCACCTCTAAGTCTTCAGCTCCCTAACCTACATTTTAAATCGTGCTGTGCTTGAGTTTTACAACTGGGTTCAGTGGATCTAGATGGTTAGATTTCAACATGGGGAAACTGGCTTTTCTCATCAGAAAGACCTTATACTGTTAACATCCCACAACACATTGGTGGTGGTGGAGGGGAGTCCCCATTACCTGTAAAGCGCTTTGAGTGGAGTGTCCAGAAAAAGCGCTATATAAGTGTAAGCAATTATTATTATTATTATTATTTGTTTTACCACAGCACAGAACACCCTGTATCTCCCACCACTCTTCTAAAGCTATTCTCAGCTTTTCATCAGAAACAAGGTATTTTAATAGAAATATATTCTTGGCACAGGTTTCAGGACTCCCTTCTTCCTGCCTTATTCAAAGACAATGCACTTTTCAGCATTCTTGCATAAAACACCCTTGTAGCCACAGCAATATAACACTGAGATACGCTTAAACAAATGACTGCTCTTTTGCTTTTGCAGCAACGATAAGTCATATCAAAAACAACAAAACTGAATTCGATTAAATGGTTGAAATGCTACTAAAGCAGGGACTCGCACTTCAGCACAGGAGGAAAGTGCACAAAAGAATACACTGCACCTTGAAGTTTTTCATTTCATGGGGATTTAGTTTCTTGGATTTGGCCGTTAACATGTGTATGTACATCTTCTGTTCCACCTGGGTCAGTCCAGATAAGCAGGGATAGGGTACTTTTGGTTCAGGAAAAACATCTTTTGTATCAGCAGGAGCAGAAGTAGGAGCCTTTTCTTCTTGAACTGAAGATGTGGATTTGGGCTGGAGATCATTAGCTTCACATTTTTGCTCTTTTGTAGCTTCTTTAGCTTTTACTGGTGGACTGAAAGAAAAAAAAGATTATATTTTTTTCTGAACTTTAGTCTAAATGTCCGTACTTTTGTTGCTAGATAATATACAAATAACTTCACTCAAGTGACATAAGAACTCTTACAGTATATCTGTAGAGCAAATATCTAGGTCTAATTAACCTTACTCAAGTTCAATTATCTTCTTTACTTTAGCAGATTTGAGTAAAAGTTTCACACCAAAGATATTTACAATACTAATTAAATGAGAAAGATGCAGCCCTGTTCCTTGACTTTCCTCAAAATACCTTTTGTGGACTGTTTCAGCCACAACAAAACTATTTAGAAAAAAGGAATATTTTGTCAGAAGACAAATATTTACCACACCTGAGTGCAACTGCCCAGAGTTCTTTTATATTCGGAGCCAAAGAATAATTATCATAAACCTCCCTTGAAAAAAACACAGTAGTGCCATTTTTAGGGGCCACATCCCTGTTGGAAAAAAATTAAAATAAATTAAAGCTTCGTCTAAAGAGCAAAACAAACACTTCATACAGGAAAAAAATATTAATAATGATGAATAATTCTCAAAAAGATAACGTGCACAAAATCTCTGTCGACAAGTCTAAAGTGTGTAATGCCCAGTCATAGAAGTTTAAAAATAAACACTTGAATTTTCAACATGCAATATACAAATGCAAGAATAATTTTAAGGATTTCACTATGTACATGTCGTGTGGATTTGTTAGGTCTAACATACAAAAGTGCTCAAAACATGAACTGTCATTAAAACACCTGATATACATAAATATACAGTACATTTAGAGAGGAGAAGACAACATGATCTCTTGCACAATTAGACAAAAACACTGAAAAACGCAAAATTAAAATGTTCCAACAGAATTGACTAAACGGAATTCAGTATTTCCTCCTTTCTCCACTAACCGGCTGGGACTGTCGTGTGCACCTATGGATCTGGTTTCGAACCCAGTGTCCCGGACAGTCTCGTGCTGTCAACATCACTGTGTTTCTAATGTAATTCTGCAACATATAATTTAATTGGTCTTTTGACGATTCGTGCGCTAATACGGAACGGGTTACTTTATGCATTTTCACTAGTAATTCTAAAACCTTGAAATAGTTCCTTCAGGTGCACTCAACATTCTGCTGTAATAAATGTATTTCAAGGTCGCTCCTGCCTGTTCTTTAACCCAACACAGTAAACAGTGATGACTTTTTAGAAAACTGTGGGTCACTTGTTTCTGCAAATAAAACTTAAAAGGTCGTCACCTAATGAAAGAAAAAAAATCCAACGTTTGCTTACGGTGTATGACATAACAAATAAAATAATTTAATGAAACAGAAGAAAACTTACCAATTTAACTCCATATTTAAAACTTTGAAGTCAGATTATTTGGCTTTCAAAATATCTGAGCCCACGCTTCAGAGTGCAAAGGAAACGTGGTTTTTGTCACAATATCCACTAGTTGCATTGTGTGAGACAACGCTTACAGCTCAGGCTGCGTTCACAGCACGCAGACGTAGAAGAATCTGCACAGATCCTGCTCCACATCTTCTCCGGTTCAACATCTCCGCGACCCCAGACTGGAAACACTCCGCAAACTCGCGTATTCACAAGTTACAAGCCCTGCCCGCAAGCAGGCAGCTTCTCCAGAGCAGTCTGGGATTCAAAACAACAGATAAAGGCTCACTGGCAAAGAAGAGTGCCAGGCAACCAGAGAGAGCCCTCAGTCCATCTGCTAGCGCCACCTAGGCTGGAGGTGAGAAACACCCGCAAGTGCCGCTGCCACTGTCAAGTTATGAAATACAGTGGCAAACTGTGCTTTATAAGGGTGTTATCGCATGTATCATCAATGCAGGGGCTTGGTGTAGATTACTAATGTATACAAAATATATTGTAAATGAATGTATACAACGTAAGAGTGTCAGTTGTACACGCCAGTTTAAACCCTTATGTGCTGTGATACACAATCAGTAGTTGTATAATCACACGAGCGTCTTATTTAAGACTTTAGCAGCAATGATACTACTAAAGGTGAGGGGGTTTTGGAGAACTATTATGTCATAACTATTGTGTGTATTGAGTGACCTCAGTATAGTGCCTTTTCATACCACAGTAATGTAGACAGATACAACTTTCAGTGTTCTCTTTATTTCTCATGTTCTGGAAACAGCATCAGAACAAACATCAATGTCGTTATTAATGTTGGATTATATTAGAAGACCACTTGTTGGCATACGATTCTATGACAAGGCAGCTTTTATTTTCTATCTTTATCACAAAGATTACTTCTAATATTTCTATTGTCATCATATAGTATTGTAACGCTTACGGCCGACAAGCACTGTGTGTAAGAGCCGGCGTACCAGAGCGGGTGACGTCACCGCCCTTCCCTGTGATAGCAGGACCACAGCTACTGGGCTGTGGAGAGATCTCTCTTTAGCTCACGGGGCTAGGTCGCTGCAGAGAGACGTGGAAGTCCCGGGTTCGAGCCTCCAGTCGGGATGGGGCCAACCAGATGCGGCAAGGGCGCCCGCCTGAGCCCCCGTTGCGTTACAGTATATTTATAAGATCGCAAAGCTAAAGGATATTCAGTTCTTCTGCGACCGCCACAATCTAAAAATCAGTTTCACCTCAATGTCTGGCTCGGCTCCGAACCAGGGCACCTCTATAATAAAGCTGTCTGCCACTGGTAGCGTTTTGCACAGATTCAAGTCTGCTCTCTAACCTGTGAAAAACAAAACTCAAACTGATGGCACGTGCTTCAGCGCTCATCTTCCATCGAGGGGGAAAAGTTCTATAATTCACAAGGTCCGCCGTGATCATGAATCGTTAGTCGAAACGTGTATTACTGGAGGTACGCTCGCATAGAAGTGCATTGACCTGTTATATTCGGAAATGTCTGAGGCAGTCTGATCGCATTCAAAATTAGGATGTGCATAATATTTTTATTATTTTTATTTATTTTTACGAGTGGGTGTAACATGGAGCAGTGAAAGCACTTGCAAATAGGATCATAGCCCGGGTGACCGTATCCGCGTTTATTTACCGTGAGATTTTGCTGTAGGAAGAGAATTTTAAAACTGCATTTCAACGGAAAGATGTTCATTTGCTATTTATGTCTTTGTTGAAGTGAAAATCTAGTGAACGTGTAATATTGATTAGCTGTTCACAATACAAGTGTAAGACGAAGTGTCGATGTTGAACAAATTGGTAACATTATTAAGCTGTTCACACTGTCTCAATGGTGGTAGGAATTGTGAAGAGCTCTGGTTTCGTGTGGTGCCATTACACAGTAAGACTGGTGTCATTGAAAACAGGAGGATGGATAGAGCTGGTTTATGTTGTTAAAGGAAATACAGTATGTTGCTAATGCAAGGTCTCTTGGGTTTTCAGCTGTAGTTATTTAAGGGCACTACATCAGAATGTTAGGGCCGGTTTTGCCACAAATGTGGTAGCTTAAGTTGCAATATGCATACTGCGTAACAGTGAAAATCGTCATAAATCCTCCATATTTCAGTATTCCAGTACATTGTAAATTGTGCACTATTTTTCCATGCTGCATTGTGCAACACAAGCAAAACACACTTCTCAAAGCTGGCAAGACATAACACAGCGCACAGAGATTTCAGCTTTGCTGAATTTATGTAATCTTTATGGAGTACAACGTTGATCTTGGTAATTGAATTGGTAGCTGTACTACAATAATAGCACACTTCATTACTTTTTAATGGCAGGCTAATCATAGGCAGTTAAACCAGCTCAGACATACAATAAGGAGGTAGACAATGAGAGTCCCATTACAAGCTGTAATCTTTATTATGGGATAACAGCACATAAAGCACATCTAAAATCGATGTGTCCAATGCACTTTTAATAAAGGTAATATTAAAGGTACAGTTTCTAAGTACAATATAACAACATTCATATTAGAATGAAAAGTATTTAAAAGACAACATTAAATTTCTTATTTTCTTTACAGCTGTATTTACAAAATGAATCAAAATACTTATTTTTATATTTAGGAATCAGACAAGGAGGAGCAAAACTACTATAGTGAAGAGACTACTCCTAAAGAGAATTTAAAAGAGCTGGATAAAAAGTTATATGATCCTCTGTCCCCATTTTAAGATCAGTAGCAAACATCTGTTAAACCTATCTGTGACAACAGCAGTCCTGGCTGTTACTTTTCAAGACATCTTCTGCTTCAGTAAGGAAAAAAAAACATCAGTTGGTCTAACATTTAAGAGCAAATGGAGCTATAAGTCCAAATATATTATATGCATATTTTTACCTAAAACTTTTATACAAACACATTTGGATTCTAGAAATGATGCTTTAGTTAGTTTTCTCTATTTGATCAAATGTTTCCACTTCATCCAGACCATAGTAGATACTTTTTGAGTATAAGCTAAAAAAAACCCCATCAAGGATTGTCCTTTCCTTAAGACATCCACACAGCTGTGTGAATTAAGCTGACAGTCTTCTGTTTACTAGCTAATGTCAACCAGAATTTACCCCAAGGAAATCTGACGGTTTTGAATTCATTTTTGTCTTCATTAGAATAGTACAGAAAAAATTGTGTTTCATTATTGACACATAATACAGTACATTGTATTAAAAGATAATTTTCTGTTTTGTCAATGTATTTGACGGTTATACAAATGTGGCAAACATTTTCTTTTGCCAATAGTAAAGACAAAATACGAAAATATTTCAAAATCCAGAACAGAATTTCTTAAGTTGTGCAAACACACTGTCATTCAAGATAATGAAACCAATAAGAAAAAATAACAACAATTAAATATAATTTGTGCATCCTGCAACACTGAGAACAGATGGTTATTTATTATTGCAAGCATATTCTGGCTGATAATGGCTACAAAAAGAATGTCAAAATTGTAGAAAAGTTTCTATAGCACTGAAAACAATTTGTCTTGAAAAGTCTCGTATAATAACACTTATTAGACTGAGAGGTGTCTGCTTTAGAAAGCTTTTAGACTGTGTGCAGGCAACCTTTTTAAAACAGAACCTGTGTGTGAAACCAAGTGCCGCTGAAGCTGGACTTTTCTGATAAAAAGCTCATTTTTTAAAGGTGTTCGGTTTGGGTGATGAGGCCCAAAAAACGGCAATTTGTTTATGTTAAATTCTAGTTTCCCCCATGTGAGGTAAAGGACTCAAATTATGTCCAGTTTTCAGACACGCAAATACAAATATGGCCTCATTTTGTGTTAACTAAAGCAGGTTCACCAGCCCTCCCAATGATTATGTGCCTCAGCTTCTGCCAGTGGGTCTCACAGTAGGGACTGCACTGATGATAGAAACACAATACTGCTTTACGGTCAAAGTCAAATCAAGGCATTTTTGAAATCTGAAACACACAAAACACACATATTGCAAATCTGGCTTTTGTTAAACCGATCCTGCTTTGCTAATAATCTTAAAGTGAGAAAAAAAAAGCCTTATCCCAAGACTAGCACTCTGATACAGGTACTCGCTGGGTATCATCATAATATTATCATTATTTATTTTTTATTATTAATAGTACTAATATTAATAATGCATCAATACTCAGTGAAATTAATAGGACAAATAGGGTGGCCTAGTCTAGGAATCAAGGTTTTGTTCACAAAAGTAACTTACCTAGCACCACACATCAGAATAACACAAAATAAATTTCAGCACACCCTACCTCTATCAAACTAAGTCTAAAAGAGAGTAGTATACTAAAACAGAGATATTGTACAGCATGTTTGTATTTAATCAACAGATAAATATTTGCACTGAGTAGACGTTTATAGCAGTATTTACTTCTTACCTATACAGACAGAAGTTATAAAGTTAACTCTATACATGTGATCAATAATAACATTAAATATTGTGACTCAAAAGCAGAAAGAGAGAGAGAAATAAAGATGTATACAGGCCATCTGAAGTTCTTAGTTCTCAGCGAAGGAACAGAACTAGTCGCTTACACATATTAAAAACAAAAAGAAAAAATGTGATAAATAAAAGGTTGTATTTACATGCAGATGCCTAAAACCTATGCACAAAAGATATTCAACGTTTATATTATTGCTTGACATTCGGTTATGGCTAGAAGTTTTTTTACTGTATTTTTTTCTATTTTATTTTTCATAACTATGCCTGTTGAACTTTGGAAATGAGAGTATTGTTAAAAGGTGCCATGAGATGGACTGATACAAATAAAAAAAAAAAGGTACTAAAACAGGTAGAGACTTTACAAACTCACCACCGGACCCTGCACTTCTAAACTCCTTAAAGCCTTGTCTGGGGTTCGTCCTATGTCTTTAAATACACACACAAAACAAGCACGCTAATAGCTGGGAAACCAGTGGCCAGCTCATAGAAAAGACACGCACCATTCCGTCACAGGTCACCTGGCAAACAGCAAGCACAAACACAGGGAGCAGCCAAGTTACGTTGTTCCCCCAGTCAAAAACAAAAGACAACGCCATTCAGAAATGTTACAGTGCTAACCACATCTGGTGCTAAATTACAAGTTCCATTAAGTTCTTTTCATTGTCAAATTTGGCATTACAAGTGTCCTAGCAGCTGTTAATAAATAAATAGCTACTATGCTTGTAAAAGAATGATCTTTAAAGCTAGAACTAATAACAAACTGTTAAATAATGTATTTTAACATTTGTTGTGAACCTAAGCCATGTAAAATGTCCCCAAAATCCCAAATCTGGTTCAGTGACAGTGTTGACCATGTATTTCAGTGTATGCTCTGTATTGCTGTATAATACTCATGATGTATTTAACGCAACTGAAGTTGTTGCATTACTGTATTGTGCTGCAAATCTGGCAGTATGTTTTTGAAGCTAATAATATTAAGTATTATAAATATTAAATATTAAGTGAAGCTAAATTAAGTGAAGTGAAGCAAGTAATATTAACTGAATTTCAATATCCTGGGAAAAATATGAAGAATTCCCAGTCAAGAACTTAATTTTAGTACCAGATCTGGCCGCTCGTGGGCAAGTACTACATACAACAATCCACAGCTATACACAAGTACCTCCAGTTTAAGAGATGAACATGATTATGTGACTTATTTTAAAAAGAAGAGAAATCCATGCTCTGCTTCTTTTCCAGTTGGTATTGCTTTTAAGAAACTCTTTCTGTAACAATTAACACGCAGTCAACTTGTATGAAAGGTACAGTTCTGGCTTAATAACATACAAACCATGTGCAGGGATAGTAGGGATCTGACTGTCACTATCGTAGACTCGCACAGCAGAAATGTGCGTCACATTCATGTACTGAAGGAGACATTGTTTAGCACCAGATAATTGAGATCGTCAGAAAGGGTGTTCATCTCACTACAGTTTGTATAAAAGAGGTTCCACTGCAGATTGGACGACTCCCTAGAACCCGTATTAATAATGCACAGCTAATGCAGAAGATCAATTAGTATGAAAAGCATAGAGGAAAATTCATTTGGCACTAAGTATAGTGGACTCTTCTCCCTCACACATCCACCCGCTGAAAAAAGAAGACGACAAAAGGAGATCGTGGTTTTTAGGATGTTAAAAAAGTAAACAATAAACAAAAAGGTATTTTGACATTGTAAATAGAAACAAGAGCTGCTTTCGTTTTACTATATCCAAAAAAAGGTTCTGAGGTTTAGCTGCATTTTGTTTCTGAAAAAAAGGGTCTGTAGGTTTCTTAGATACAGTACTTTTAGAGAGTGGCTTTTTTTCATAGTGGAGAATCACTAATGCACTGGTAAACTGGCACCATACCCTAACATTTAAGTGGAACTGGTAACACAACCTAATAATGCTACCAATCCGTAAAATTAGGCTTTGCCGTAATTCATAATTTAAAGAAAGATGGAAAGGGCTTTCATCTTGCAATCCTGTATGCCAATATACCTTGGACCGGCCAGATTAACATGGAAAAGGTCTGCACTCCTGAGTTGACTTTAGCAACCTTTCAGAAGGTTGGGGAAATCAGAATCCCCAATGAAAACCCTTGGGAACCTGGGGCAAACAAGCAAACTCCACATCCCAGCCCAAAACTGAACACAAGACCAGACCCAAAAACTGTGAGACAACAGCACTAAATGACACACCCTCCATGCTGCCTATATGTAATTACATTATAATGCATCTTAATATCAGAACACTGTGACAAGTGTAGAATTTGGATGTGTTTAAGCTTAAGAGGTATCAAGTGATAAAAACGTGGCAGTTAATTATAGTCAGTCTCTCCTGTTCTCTGTTTGTGTCATTATGTTTTTCTTTTTTCTTAGGTTGTCAACATGCAAACCATTTAAAGCACATTTCAACACCCATATCAAGCACAGAAAACTGGAACTGAATTCAAGCTGCACTTATCATAAACAGTTTAAAGAAAATAAGTCAATGTTTTTTCTATAAAAGCATTGCTTTCTCAAGTCATAGCTAAACTTTACCAAGCTCTAAACTAAAAAAGAGGAAAGATTTCAGCTCAACAAAATCTGCATTACTAGATGGTGCAATAAACCTTACAGACCTGCTAAATGTTCATGCAGTATTACACAAATTGTATACCGCATTAAACAGAGAATTAAAAAAAATAATTTAATGAAGATCCTTCTGAATATGGCTGAATATTTTACTTAAAGAAATCCTTATCATTTCAACATCAACACAATGCAGCAAAATACATTTTGCCAAGTCCACTGTTACAATTTTGTAGCTAGAAACAGCTGTAACCTACTAGAATCAAATTGGCTGTCTTCTGCTTTAATACTTATTTAAGTTATTCTCCCTGAGCATAAATTTCATAATTCAATTCCCAGCTAAAACAATGGGCAAAATGTTCATATTTGTATGGATTGTCATTCACAGTTTTAGCATGTGCCTTTTATCTTTTGGATTCTTCAGAGAGCAGTGTCCATAAACTAACTGATGGTAGTGTAATCTCAATTAAAGGAAATACTGTCCACAGCAAACCACTTTTTCCTCTTTCAGCCTAGAACAAAACGGGGTATGTGAAGTATTTGGTTGCCTTAGCACCCTTTTCACCATAGCATCAAATACATGAAAGATTTCAATGTTTCTTCATACAAATTGCATGAAAATTGTTCTATTATTACAAGCTCACAGTACTGCCAGACATGAGCTGCAAGTCCCCAATACTCATAGAAAGCACATGAAAATGCCATGTAGGGAAAAATCCAAATTTGTTATCTTAAGTTATGAAAGAATTTGCATTTTTATTTAAATATGGTCTTTCATTGAGATGTTTTGCATGTTTTTTAGATATTGCTGAAAGAACATTATCAACCATTTTTTTCTGGGCATGCTGGGAAGGTTTCAGACCACATGGATTAATATTTCTGGGAAGGACTGTCTAAGAGCCCTGAAAAAATGCACGATGTGGAAAAATAAAATGATGCAGAAGGAATACTGGGGAATCAACATACCCCTGTCATCTGTCAGTGATCTTGTTTTGTTCTTAGAGCTTTGAAGACAATACTAGGAAAGACAGGTAGATAACACACTTCAAGAATAGCTTTCTAGATCCAGTCTCTGTCAGGGTGTGCAAAAGCCTGTTTTATAACATGTCCATGTGTTCTGAAGGCTACTGAATGCATGAGTTCTGGCTGAGCCATCCCAGTCCCAAAGAAAAGAACCCTAATAATACATAAACATGGTTCAGCATGTAAATTGTTTCCTGGCCACTGTATGAAGAAACCAGACTGAACTATTCAACTGACATTCCTTAGCAAAAACAAATAAGAGAAGACAATAACAACATAACATCTTAAAAAAAAACTGTAAAAATAACTGATTTTTGAACTTCCCTGAGGGATAACAGTACATAACGAGTTTGTTATGTACATATTGCACTACTGAGGAATGAAGGTCATGTGCAAAAAAAGCAACTGTGATACAAGCTTCCTACTCAAAACCCCTAACTCTGCTCCTTGTTTCCTGGAATGTCACAACACAAACACAACTCACTGACGGCAAACACTTAACACAAGCATCTGCTATGGCACATTCAGGAACAAATGAAAAAGGTACAAGATATTTAGACAAGACTCCGGCAAGGAAAAAGACAAAAATACTAACTAAAAAAAACAAAATATATATATATTAAGATAACATTACTTTCTATCATTGTCTTGCATTACAAAATCTGTTTTTTCACAGACTACTTCTATTTATTGCAGGAATATTGTTAAGTGCCATCTGTTGCCTCTTCCTGTGTTTTAAGGGTTACAAAAATAGAAACTTTTTCTTCCAGACAAGGCTTTGAATATTGTATCTCTTTCTCTTTCAACAGCAAAACAGTGTTTTACTGTTGACTGACAAATACTTGTCAATGGCTAACACCTAACTCTTGAGAAGCAGTCACGCTCAGAAACTCAGACATGCACGCGCACAAGGAGTGGAGAGTGAGATTGTAAAAAAAAATCACAAACTTTGATCACAAAAGAACAGCCAAGCTTTCAACCAGAACTAGGACTGCTGATGTTCACAAATAAAAATGTTCACATGTGTAACAGTAATAGTATTAGCTCTTATCTTGACACTTGTTTCCTATTGCCTTTGATAACACATTAAGGCTGCAGTCTTTTTATTTTGCCATTAGGTGGCACAATTGGATTTTAAAAAATACAGAACTAACGCACAGTTCCATCTGCTGAAATAAATCCAAGCTGGCATGTTTCTGTGCTAGACCACTCACATTGTGGGAAGCTCAGTTGCTTGCTTCTTTCTCTCACAGTCAGGATGTAAAATAATTGTTAACCCTTTGTCTGACAGCTCACCAAAAAGCTTGACACACAGAGTGTTAATGGTCTTCGCTTTTTATGGTAAATTATGCAATTGTCTTTTTGACTCCTTTAGTTTCTACTGCTTTTTTTCTGTAATGGCTGATCCCAGGAGTGATGATTACATGGTTAATGTCTTGTTTGATTACTATGTGTGTTCTCTGTCATACTGGACTTGCAGACTGAATGTCAAAATTGATTTGTAATTTTACAGTACAATGTTTATTAAATTAAAGGTGGCTAAACAAGATGACTTTGTGACCACTACCAGCAGACTTCAAGCGGCAGGCCAGATGTTGCCAGAAGCTATTTTGCAGTTACCATGTCAGACTGAGAGGTTGTGGCAAAAGTGCAACTCGGATGGAGCCCATTGGTGATAAAAACGCAAGATTTGGGGACTGTTCCGACAAGCTGACAACAAAAGTCAGGCCACAATGATAAAATATCTAGTATATAAGAATGTCTCCAGAGCAGAACTTTAGTCTCAAAAGCTGAAGTGATTTCTTATTGGGGACTTTAAAAAGGTACCATGATATCAGCAGTGTAATATCTGCACAACATGCTTCTGTATCAGACATTTTTCCTGAACAGACTTAAGGGGGATACCTATAAGTTCACTTTATTGATGGGTTGGACAATCAATGCTTCAGACTTACTACCTTAGATGGACACATAAAAATGTTCAAACTTAACAGTTAAAAATACCAGAATAAGGTTTTTGTTACAAATCAAACCTTATTTAGAAAAGAAAAATGGCAATGCACATTAAAATGAATACTACTGTTATTTTGTTACCACCAGAGTACATAGGTAGGGGTCTAACTGAAATCCAAAGGATGCCAAGGAATGCAGAATATTAAGTTTGACCCTTATTCTCTTAAAGGTTAGCATATGGGGAGCTATTTCCAATAATTTCATAAATTATGTTTTTATAAAATATAAACTGAAGCCACTCTTTTGTTCTCTCCTTAGCGCATTTAATCGGACATGTATGTTTTTTGGCAGTGTTTGAAGAAAATGTCAACAGCCCTCTTTCATGAACAAAGGTGATGGATGAAAAAATATTGACGTTTCTGCTTCTCATAACCTCAACAGTATGCAGCCCTCTCAACACTGACACTGCAAAACTCAATGAATCAGCAGCATCAACATCTCTCTGGACTACCCTCCACAACTCTGTGGTTAAATTTGTATTTCTTGTGCACATGCAACACATCACTAGGTAATACACGAGTCTTAAATAAAATGAAGGTGCAAATGAAAGTGCCTTATCAATTCAACAATAAAGAATATTCTAACTACTAATATCATACATGTTATTTAAAATAGAATCTATAAACATTACTTTTTCTGTATAGTAAGTTCTAATGACTGAATACCCTGTAGCACATTATAAAACTGGTGTAATGGACCCTTTTTTTCTTTGTTGGTACCCTCAGTTTTACCAGGACACCTCCCCAGTGAAGGATTAATAGCAGATGGCCTTACATGATTTCACTATGCAACCATGGAGGATGGAGTCTTTGACAGCTAAATTCATTATGTTTAAACTAGAATTACCAGAATTCTACATTTCATTTAGACGATTGTCCATCGAAAGGTGCAGTTTATATCGTGTTCGCCAACAGGCAGACTCCACACCACAGTGCTCTTTCAGCTCTCCGAGTCTTTTTGAGTTTGCATCTGAGCACTGCATATACAGAAAAAAAAACCAACGGTTTTGAACCTGACCAAGAAATGCATATAGTTTCCATATCTTGATTACGTCTTTATTTGACATATCATAAAAGAGCCAAAGAATCCTATGCAGAAAAAAAATATTTGAAGTCCAGAAAATGTATAGATCCTGGGATAATACACAATTTAAACAACACAATTCCCTATAAAATAAGAACAAATACCCGATTTGGCCAAATAAACCCTGTTTTAGTGATAGAAGTGAATCTGTCATTTAGAACGTTTGGCTTGAATCTTGAAATACAGTCCTCCATTAAGAAAGAAAAGGAACAGCAAGTGACCATAGTGTAATTATTTGAAATTCCTTGGCCAAAAGAAAAACTTGAAACTCTAGGGAGAGACTTAAAAGAATGGAGGCAATTGAACATGACTTTAAGTGCTGCCACATTAATGTAAAGCTGTGTAGACAACAGCTTCAGAGCATTTCACGTCTGCCTGCTACTATGATTGAAATCATTTCCGTGAATTGGAAAGGTTAAACCAGTGCCTATCCTTTAGAATAGTCGAGATATTTGTTGTTGCTTTTTCTGGGATCAAAACAAGGTAAGCCAAATCCACATCAGTTCAATGTTCACAATTTCCGCAGTTAAGACGAGGAGGCGAAAAAGGACTACATGGAAACGATATGCATAAGGACAAGTTCAGTGTTGAGTAAGGTTCGGTAAGCTTTTGTTTTTATCTCCTCTCCGATTTCCCCTGCACTTCAGTTCCCTGCCCCATCCACAGAGAGAAATAAAAAACAGAAGAACGAAATCCCACAAATTGTGCAGCGTGTCGGCTCTCCTGATTTGCGCAGGGCACCGTAAAGTGTCTCAGATTCATTCAGCTCTGGTTCCTCCAACATTGCGGACAGCTTTCACACAAATGGGTGGCCGTTACCCATCGACAGGCATCGACTGCTCGAAGTCCGAACCAAAGAGCTCCTTATATAAGGGTGGGAAATGGGCACGCACAATGTCCGGGTATATTGCTTTGAAAGCTGTCAGCTTCTCTGTATGCCTGCTACACAATGCTCGCAGTGTAGATACTTTGCATATCAACTGTGAATTAAATACAAAAAAGAAACAGCATTTAGAGTTTTATACTTCAAGAGTTGATGGCCACATTCAGAGACATTTACAGTACATTTGTCAGTTTTTCTAACTAAGATTCATTCACTATGGAAATACTGCTTTGAAAATACAAATAAACCATTATCAAACTTATCAAAACAGACTTTTCTTTAATGACCTCTTTTCTTCTCACTGGCTTTGTTCAAAATACATTTTGTAATTTCATTAAAAAATTGTAATTCTAAGACAACAACGCTCTCATAATATGGTGAACTATAAATGGATATTATATATATATATTCAACAGGAAGAAACATATCCATTGTCCTCAGTAAAACTGTTAAATGTAGGCAATAAAAATGATTGCCTACAGAAATACCATACATAAAATTAAATCTAAGGTAATATATTTCCAGTTTGAAATGCAAGGCATGCACTTCTCAGACACCTGCATGAATGGAAAGTGAATGTTTCCATGATGTCAAACCATTAAAAAAAGAACAATACCTTTGTTAATATCCCATCTTCTCTGTGGTTCTTTTGCAGAACATGCTGAAGAGCCAGCTGGATTTTCTGTTGGAGCTTTTCCACTTTCACCTTTTCTTGAAGCCATGACCGATCTAGCAACAAGATTCAAGAAATTTGGCATCAGGCCTATGGGATTCTTTATCAACATTTTGAATCACACTTATGGCTTGAGATCTTAGCTTTCAAGGCAAAATAATCAAGAACAGACTGAGTTCAAAGTGCTGCTTTTGGACCTTTCTGCTTATGCAACCAGTGAAGTTAGAGGAACAACATCTGAAACCTCTGAAAGGTCAACAGAAAGGCAGACCTGCTTATGAGTGTCAGATGGTGATACGAGAGAAAAACCGAAAAAGCCATGATAAAGGATGTCAGCAACTGATCATAAATCTGGGTGATTCTAAACTGGAGAGAAAAACAAAGAGGGAATTTATCTTTAGCTCTCTAAATGTGAAAAGTGTATGTTGAACGAATTATCCAGGTGAAGAGTGCAATTCACAAATGCTTGTTATGATGTTCCAGCAGTGAAGAGCATGGCTGAATCACACTACAAGTACTAAACTGTTTGATTGCTTAATGAATTGCTTACCTGCAGACATCAACACAAACGCGGAGAACAATGCAATCTCATCCTCAGACAGGTGCATAGAACACAAATTCTTTCCAAACTCAAAGACGGAGCTGATCAAGTCATCACAGCCTGACAAAGCAAATGCACAGACAGAGAAGAAACATGAACAACAAAGGCAAAAAGTCTTCCATTTCCACAGTTTTGAAGTTACGGTTTTAATAAGGGAGAGGTATCCTTGCATACAAATGATACTGCCTTGACATGAAAGAACAACTGCAGCACAGCAAGCATGTCATTTTACGAAATCTGTGTAGTTTAATCATATTTTGGCAGCCACTTCTTATTAGGCAACAAGGAATGAGGTCACTATTTCAACTTTTTTCTTGTTAAATCAATTATTGGGAATTCACAAAGACACAGGAAGAAGCCTTCATTACTTCCCTCATCTCAGAACCCATTCTGTACCACTCAGAACAGTGGAATGCTTGTTAGTGTGGCCATGCCACATGATATTTTATAAAAAAAAGCACTGTTCTTTATCATCCAAGCCACACACAGAGAATCAAGATGTACCCAATTAAAATAGTGCAACATTGCTCAGAATCTGGCTTCCTTCATTCACTCAGAGCAGACAGACAGTGTAATGAGTGCTGACGCAGCTCCTGATGACGATGATAATAACGACAATAAATTGAAAAGGCTTCAACTTAATTGTCCCACTTGAGTTCCCTCTTCCAAAGCCTCTGTAAATCCTCATGATACAGTACATGTGTTTTGCATTAGTTATGCATTTTCATTAGTAGTAATAGTAGAAGTATTGGAAGTAAACAATATCTTTTTTTTTTCATTAGATGGTTGTGCTGCGCTGCACTATAAAAGAAAAATATTTCACTCAAAGAAATTAGATCAAACCTATTATTTCCCGGCATTGGAAATCATCAAGAACATTAAGGTTTATAGTACAATGTCTACTGATGTAATGCGTTACTAGAAGGAATTTCTTGAGCAAGGCTACAAAAACACTCTTTTAAAACACACAAAAAACATACAGAAAACTACAATTTCACTTTAACATACTGGACCACTGTTACTGAGCTGCATCGGCAGAAGTTCTTGTCAGCTCTTAGATCATTAATAGTGTCTTCTAGCATTTTCACCTGATTTCTCCCTGCCTTTCACCTGAAAGTATGTCTCTTTATTAACCATTGCAAATAATTGAGTATCTGTAATTTCATTTGCATGAAACATGGTACAGGATTATTTATGTTGTTATATTGTGTTATGTAGTATTTATCACAGTTATGACCATGAGTGTTTTTTAGCCTCACTCATGTAAAGCATGAAGAAAATAGACAGTGTTTAATTCAATTACATAAATATAATTTCCTTCCAAACATTTTTATTGAACCTTTTTTTTTTTCAAGCAAAGCACTACCGAGTTATATGGCCATTCAGTCATCTCCAGACTCTTTGACAGGCTATACAGTACTTCTAGGTCAAAGCTTTTACACGTGGAAGAAAAGAAGCTTGTCTTAATTGAAGATAAGAGGTAACTTAAAATCACTCATCACAGAGACATGGTCTATCATGTCTGGGTAAGAGCACAGCTGTCAGTGTGTTACTTGAGCTGGTCCCTTTACAGTAGTCACAATCGCTGCCCTGCCTGTGTGAAGGTCTACACAAGACACATGATGAGTAACAAGAAGTGAAAAATAAAAACCTTGGAGTTTCACCCTAATCAAATACTCACCTAATGATTTAAAGACCTCCGGGCCAGCGTACTTTCCATCAAAATAGACTGTGTTGTTTTGTGAGTCAAAGGCACGGCACATTCTGACAAACACAACTTCCAAAGAACCTAAGGAAGGCGGGAGACATGGCATGATTAATATTATTTAATTTCTTGTTTCTTTCAGCATGAACAGCTGCAGGCCCTCCAGTCATATGGGCCAAAGACTTAACACAGTAATTTGCACTCCATGTTTTTTCAAGTGTTTCCATGTATTCTGTCTATTGTTTGCCTAACTTTATGGTAAAAGGCCATAATAATGCTGCCAAAAAACGAAATACTAATACTCCATATCATAGAGCACAAGACTGCAATCGTAAGCATATCAATGTTTATGTACAACCCATGTTGAGTTTTCAGCCACAAATGTGTACCAAATGTTTTTTCTTAAGCTCACAGGCTGTAGACAGCCATGTAAAATCTTAGTAAGTAGCAAGCAGTTTGAAAGCCATGATGAACTGTGGTTACTGCAGTTATGATGACCAATGAGACTAGATTATAATATAAAAAAGATGCAGTGACAACCACTGTATCTATGAGATTTCTGTGGTTTAAAATGTGAAGTTCAACTCTAGATATATGTCACTAATTCTTTATTTACATCACAATTGGAATTCTATTCAAATCAAGATCGATTTGAAAAATAACCACAAGTGTCACATTTTTCTGCAGCATAGAATCTTTTTTCTTTTGGCCTGATTCAAGCTGGTTCAAGACAGAGTGAAGGAAATAGATGTTGTTACAGAGTCAGCGGTTCAACCACTCTTATTTCCTTTGTTACATATCTTAAACATCGCTACGCCCTGTGTTTACTGTAAACAAAGAGACACCAGAGGATAACAGTGTCACGGTTTTTGCCAAAGTCTTCAGTACCCTCACATAAAATGACAGTGAATAATGTCAGGTGACTTTATTCAATAAATTTGAAAGGCTTCACCACAGAATCTAAACAGGTTATTTATGAGACAATCACCTGTGTAAGCCTTTGCCCCAGGCCTGATTTTTTATTTAATAACTACTGCTATTTTATTATATCTTTAGTAGCTATTTTATTTAATAAATACTGTTATAGCAGTATATTTGTATTAGCTATTTTTACAAGAATGCACCCAAAAGGTACAGGGCTGTAAAACCATGTCATAAAATCACTGTATTTACTCAAGTAAAAGATGGATTTGAGTACTATGCTATTTTGGTCTTCAAAGATTCTCATTCTTTTCTAAATGACAATGAGATGTCCATAAAGCCATGGTGCTGAACTTAATAGAAGACAATATAAATAAAAAATAAGTCTTTCTATGGTAGGGCATCAGCAGTATAAATTTATATCCTTTCAGGATAGTTTGTCCTGATGAATCTTTATAATAAAGTGTATGAGTATCTTTTTTACTTCAGGCAACATGATTATGAAGACAGATATGATTAATATATTAATTCTAACAGACTCATAGATAAATGTGGTGCTAAAGAAAAGCTACAGGTTTAAGATAAGAAAAACACGAACGAAACTGAAACCTCCAGCAGTACCTTCTGGAGACACATCACTTGCACAGGAATAGATCAGCACACTGTACCTGCTTTAAGAAGCACTATCTGATCATTCTGGCACAGCTCCATGAAGCCATCGATGCGTTTGGCAAACTCAACCACATACTGAATAGCCTCTGTTATTTTGATTGCACAAAGCTGCCACATGACCTCTCTGGGCTAAAAAAAAAAAAAAACAGCAAAAATATTTAATTAATTGACTGAAATGAATTGGTTAAACCAATGTGTGTTTCATTAGTGAAAAACAAAAAGAAAGAAGTAGGAGTCACAGTGTTTGAAAAGTGAGACAGAGGGCGGGTTTTTGTACCTTGTTTTGATAGTTCTCAACTTCTTCCTGCAGGTAGGCCTGCCAAGTCATCTGCTGGAGTTCTTCTCTTAAGTACTGACACGTTTCCATATGAGACTTAGAGATATTTTGTGCCAGATGTTCTGGAGGAAAAAAAAGAGACAACATTATTCAAACCATTAAAGACATTACATCAGATTATACTTTTACAAATAATTATTTTAAGTGTAACTATGAATGGGTTTATAGTTACAGTACACTTAAAATAACACTTCATTAACGCACTGCACCTGATATAAAATGCAGTTTACTGTATATCTTCATGAGGCGCCAGAAATTAAGAAAGAGCGGGGTGGATACTGTTGCGTTTTACGTATTGCTGTTCTCAACAAGGAAGAAAAAATGGACATTTACAATATATACACTGTCTTCGAGAACTGATCTTGTCAAAGGGGTAGACTCAGAATCCACATCAGTGACAAAAATCAAAATCCAAAGGGGTGAGGAGTTGCATGACATTGCCTCCCAGAAACAAAGGTCATTTTGGCTCTTGGAAGAAAAAAAATTAATCGTTTTTTTTTTTTAAATACATTTGTTAAAAGAAAAAGGATCTAAAGCACTAGGGAAACTGAAGAAAAAGGAGATTTCCCTCGACGTATGCCCTGTCGGATTTTGATTGGCCCTAATTACTGGAAACTAATTACAAAAAAACTGTTTTAATGAGTCTTTGAGATGAGTTTTCGGCCTCCTGCTATTTTAAGCCGTCTTCGTGTTATATACCCACCCCGGTATCCTGTTCTCACACGCTCCCCTCCTCTCGAGCCTCACCTAGCTCTGCCATGGAGACGGTGGGGGAGGTTTCCCCGTTCGTGAAGGAGCAGTACGGGAAGAAGCCCGAGCCGGGCGCGAAGTCGCAGATGGGCTCGGGCTTGATGCCGTTGATGTCCAGCCCGGACTGGTCGGGGGAGGGCTGGATGTCCAGGTAGAAGCTGCTGACGGCCGAGTCGGCCTTGCCGCCGTCCGGCGTGTGCCCGTCGATGTAGCTGCTGAGGTCGTCGTGCAGCTCCGTCAGCCCGTTGGTGGAGAGGCCGTACGTGGGTGTCAGAGGCTCCGCCTCACCCGGCTGCTGCTGGTGGTCTCGCTGCTGCTGCTGCATCCGGTGCTTCTGCACCTCGGCGTACAGGCTGTCCCTCTGCTTCTTAGACATTCTGCCAAACTTAACCGCTGTGGGGTCAAGGGAGAGGTATGAATGCATCTGCACAACCTTTTGATTTCTTATCTCATTTGCTGGTGATAATAATTGCTCACACTTATATAGCCCTTTTCTGGACACCCCACTCAAAGCGCTTTACAGGTAATGGGGATCCCCTCCACCACCACCAGTGTGCTCCCCACACACCAGCTCTCAGTGGGGAGGAGAGTAGAGTGATGAAGGCAGTTCATAGACGGGGATTATTAGGAGGCCATGATTGGAAAGGGCCAGTGGGGAAATTTGGCCCTTTGGAAATTTGGAAACCGGAGTTAAACGGTGTCTTTTAGAGAAATCCTGGGACTGCAGTCAGGATCTCAGTTTTATGTCTCAACTGAAGGACAGCACCTTTTTGACAGTATAATGTCCCCATCGCTATGCAGGTGCATTAGGACTCACACAGACCCACTTAACCTCATTTGGATCTGGTTACCCTGGGATCTGCAGAAGTTGTTTTGCTGACTGTCAGTAAGTGTGAATGGAACATCCAAGCAGTGCTCTCCCGAGCCTATGGAATACAATGTACTTCCTTTCACACTTCTGCAGGATTAGCCTTGATGAATAGTTTTACAAGTAACATTTGCAGGTACACATGGAATGAGAAACCAAATCCTAAGCAGAAACATCAACAGAGAATCCCTAAGGACACACGTCACGGGATATAAAAACAAGCCATAAATTAAATGACAGCAGATACAGCTCCATAATGATTTTTTTAGTGAAAAAAAAATATTTTGAACCTCAGAAATTCCAATTATAGCTACTGATTGTTTCTTCCTCAGTGTCTAAGAAGACCAATCTTGTAATTTTGCCAGTGAGAAATACTCACTACAAGTGAGGAATACTGTGTTCACTGTAGCTGTGAGTCACCTTGCCTGTCTAAACTCTCAGACTGCCTCAGTCTCTGAAGGGCTGGCTTGATTACAACACAAGTCTGACCTTCACACCTAGCAACCCCAGTCCTACACAATGCACACCTTATCACACCACCACACTACTGAAAAACATTACAAAAAAGAAAACAACTCTGCTATAAAGAACCCCCAGGTTTCTGTGACCCCTTGTGAATTTCTACACAGGTCTTTCTGCCTCTCACAGGGTTTGGAACAGTAAGACAGTACCTAGTTTTACAGTTCAAACAAATCAGGAAATAGTAACATGTTGTTTCATTGCCCGTGCAGTATGCCACAACACATTATTGTCACAGTGTTTTGAAAACTTTGTAAGACGATTTAATTATGATTTTAATTAATTTTGACTCATTTAGTAACACTTCTAAACACAATTTTTCATCAAAAAGTCACTGGTGCAGAATTTGACAAGTTCCTCCACAAAAACATTTGCGTCCTTTCGGATTTAGGAAATTTTGCTGCTGATTTCTGTAGGGACTACAGTATTAAGAAAAGCAGATAATTTCCTGAGTAACAGCCAGTATTACACTTCTAAAGACTAACAAGAGTTTAGAGTGGAGAGATACATGGGAACAAGCAGAGGTTAACGCCACACCAACTTTTTCTGCTTTATTTTATTTTTCTACATATGCATTTCTATCGCATATGTGCAGCATATTCTGCATTTAGCTAATTTACTAAGGACATGGAGTAAAAAGTTAATAAATTAAACTGCTGCACAGCTGCATCACATGTCTGGAAGGGATTTATTATTTTAGGATTATTAGAAAAGTAGCAGCATGATGTTTTCTGCTAGCAATGCTACAGATAAGGCCAATAACACGGATTGCCCTGACTGAGACTGGCTCATGCTTTCTCCAGAGATTCTGAGTGGAAACAATTTTCATGGTGAGTGTAAGTTGTGGGCACCAAACCCCAGGGGCCACACAATGACGGGCGCCCTGCACATACCATCCCGTGACATGCCCACAGCCAGGCACTTCTGCAGCCGGCAGTGCTGGCAGCGATTGCGACTGGTCCGGTCGATCAGACAGTTTTTCTGACGAGGACAGGAGTACGTGGCGTTGCTCTGCTGACTTCGCCTGAAGAAGCCCTAGGGAGTAACCCGCAAGAATAGTGTGAGCGGCTCGGCTTGCCGGGACATCACAGGGAAGGACAGTAGTCACAACCTTCATGCAAAAGATCACAGCATCTGGCATTTTCTAAAAAGAATCAAATAACTGAAGGTCCATTCATCCGTCCATTTTCTAACTGGTTTATCCAGTACAGGGTCATGTGGGATCCAGAGCCTGTGCGGGAAAGCAATGGGCCTTAAGGCAAGACACACTCTGGGCAGGACGTCAGTCCACCGCAGGGCAGACAGGCAGAAACACACACACTCACACCAGGGTCAGATTTCCCAGAAGCCAATCAACCTAACAGCACTCAGAGGAATCCCACACAAGCATGGGGAGATCATACAAACTCCCCGCAGAGAGCACCCCAGGAACTGAACCCAGGGCCCCAGCACTGCGAGGCAAACCACTGCCACCACGCCACCCAGAATAATATTTATAGAGTTCAGAATTTAACGTAATTTTATAAATACCAATCGCTCACATTTGATCCCAAAAAAAAATGGGTATTTGGGTGTAGTGGACATGAAGTCTCTTTAGATCACTTCTTCCTGCAGTTTGGCATTTAAAGTAACTTTCCAAAGCGCTTTCCATTTATATGCAGTCATCATGGAGGCCAAGCCTTTTGACTCCCAGAAAAATGAACCCCAGCTGCTCAATGCACCCCCACCGCTTTAGGTAGCTGTTGAATGCGAGGTGCTGAGCAATTTTAGGCGACAAATGGTAGAAGATGTTTATGTTTTGCTTTAGAGGCAGTCAACCACCATATGCTGTTATTTTTCCTTCTGCTGTAATCTGTTAAAAATGAAAGTGGGGGTAGCGAGTGATGTGTTGTGGTGAGGTCACAATTGTCATTTAACATGTTTCAGTCACTGCAGCGATGAGGGCTTGCACACTGATTTCATACTTCATCTTTTGACAATTTTGTACTTAATGAATTGATTCTAGCAGATCATTAACATACCCTATTCGACTGCTCGATACACATATGTCTTAATTAGTTGCTCATTGGCTGTTTAATTACAAGAAAACAGCTGACAGCTGCCAAGTTGCCTTCTAATGGCAACCATTATGAAACTGGGGTATAACTACTCGTGACAAGCAGGACTTTTTCATAATGCTATGATTTATGGTTAGAACTCATGTACTTGCACATATCATTAAGTGCTACTATGCCTGAAGTAATTAGCAATCATTAAAGATACATTTCAGCAGTTTATTCTGCTGCTTTCATTTTATTTAAACCTGTGTCTTAGAGAGAGAACAAGGTTTTGTCTGTGAAAGGGGCCCTGTCTTTCTCAAAGCATGAAAACAAAAGTACTGTCAGCTTGCTGAATGCTAATCAGTTGCTAGGAGAGCTAGCTATGCAAAAGGGAGGAAAAAATTACCAAACTTTCCTCTTGCATATTAATGTTGTTTTCATATAGGGTTAACAGAATATATTACTAGAACATAAAGGGTTAATCATTTCCTTTTGTTACTGGTAATTATTAGAATAATGACTCCAAAAATAAGATTAGAATTAAAATAGATTGCATTAAAGAAAACAGAATTTTGTGAAAGTTGAAATGAAAAAATGGAAATATTGTCATATGGGCACTGGGAAGCCTTCTTAAAACATTTCAGATCTCAAACACCTCAAACTGAATGGGAAAGAAATACGATAACAAAACTCAAACTGAGACCTGCGAATTCTCATCACAGCATAAAAACCTGACCGGTTTCATAATGATCTTTTTTTTTCCCCCGTTTCCACCCTAATCGCTCAGAAGTACTTTAAAATCTTTTCGAAACTCAAAAACTTCAAATCCAAGCAGGCGATGTTCTCAAAGCCGTTTCTGAGTCACACAAGGAGTGGAGCTGAGAGAACAGCAGAAGAGAAGTCAGAGGGACGATCACTAAAACTCTAATGACAGCATGTAGGAGAGAAGCCGCCCTCTGTTTCCAGGAGAGCCAGCTTACCTTGCAGCCTTCACATGTTATCACACCATAATGGATCCCTGATGATTTATCTCCACAGATCTTGCAAGGAATAATTTCGATTTGAGCTGGAAGAGAAGAAGAAAGAAAAAGTTTCAGAATCACATCAGATGCCACCTACCACATCAAAGAAACGCACATTGTTTAACATTTGAATGCGAACCGTTGTTCGGAAACTTCTGATTTGGTTCCCCACACGTTCTTCTGAAGTCAAAATCGCCTTGTTTTTTAAAGACATGTTAAACTTACTAGGGGAGTAGTTTCGAGTCATGATTAGGTCTAAGGTCTCCAAGCTAGAAGGCTGGGAGTTTCAACTCTTGGCAGTGACAGAGCTCCTGTAGTCTTGAGTAAAATATGTCACCTACAGTAAATTGCTCTAGCAAACGCTATTGTATAAATGGTGTGTATATATATATACATACATGTGCATGACAATAGGTAATTGTAAGCTCTGTAAGTTGCTGTGTATAAATTGATAGTAAAAACTCTTCACTCATTGCGATAAGTGATGAGTCCTGTGGAATTTGAGAAAGAGGTAAGTAGTAACATAGACTCTTAAACATTATACAAAGGAACATCCTTTACTCTATAACTAATGCTAGATCTCAGAATAGGCTAACAACCTCAAACTAAAGGTCTATTCAAGCCTTGTGAAAGATCTGTTTCACTGAGAAAAGACGTTTATCCAATACCATACTTCAGTGCAAAGTCTCCTTTTTTACACTGTAATATCTTCAGAGTGAAAGATCAAATGGCCTTGCCAACATGAACCCCCCCAAAAATTCCCTAGATTAAGGTCCTTAAACTATAACCATTGTGAGTCAGAACACCTTTTCGCTGACATTGGGGGGTTGTCTTTGACTTTCCTACAACACAGCATACAAAACAACATTTTCATTTCTGTCTTCATACACTTTCGAGCATTAAATTCTGCTTTTTACTGACATGGATTTACACCATTTCAAACTGCAAAGGAGAGTTTTAATTAATTAAGCCCAAATCAATCTGACATTGAAACAGTACAACACAAGAAAAGTCTATACTGAACTTATTAAGTGATGTGAAGCTATATAGGTGAATCTGTGCAGCATTATCTACAGTAAGTACTGCATGTTTCTATTAGCCTGGAAAAGTTACACAGTTGACAGAGACAACTGGGGGGAATATCACCAGTCCATGACCTTCTATTCATAAAGATGTATAACTGCAAGGAAACTAATCGTGACACAGTGTTAGCTACACAGATCTATGCCTTTTTATTGAAACCACTGGCACCCTATTAGTCAGTTGCTTGAGACATTTTTGAACAGCAAATCCTCCAAGAAAACTGCCATTTCGATGGAAATGTTGTTTCTGCTGTTGCTGTCGATTCATCGTTGGTTTTACAGTGGTTTGGCTCGGACGCATATAGTACATGGATGATTATGAACAGAGAATTACACAGTATGAAATTCTTCAAAAGATTCCCCTCAGCACAAAGAACCAATCAAAGCAACGTTTTAGAGTGGGGAATCTGTCTAGTGTTTTGTTCAAACCTCTGCAGTTATGGGATTAATACACAGAGCAGTTTACATGGCAACATCAGGGGCGTTTAGATTCCACAGCTACAGCTGGACACTGATGTGTGTTACACAAAAGCAGTGCAAATGCCAGTCTCAGTCATTAAGATCAATGCAAACATAAGCCTGAACATTGTAACGTCTGTGTTCATTACATTGCCATGTGCATTGTTCCCTGTTATACAGTACAGTAGCCAATAAGACAAACAGAAAAGTCCTTCATGTTAGGAACAAATGATAATCAGTCCAGATAAATGTACATACCATCATTCTAGGGTATAAGCAGATCTATTCAACCAAGAATCAACTGTATACAAAAAAGCTGTATAGAAAAATGAGGCACAGCTCTTGAACAATAAAGCCATCCTTGCTGAATACATTTTCATAACGTCCCAATGTATTAAAAAGAACAATTAACACTACAGTTAAGCCTTTCATGCAGGACTGACTGAACATATTCACATCAATACCTTTAGGAATCAAATCCAGTTGCCCGCTATCTGAGTGAATTTCCACCGAGGACAACAGCAGCAGTTCCATGTTCCTTGGGTGCACCTTGAAATCCAATCGCTCTAAATTAATTCTCTCAAATCAACTTCCATTCCTGAGCCTGAACCAAACCGCAAAGCCCATTTAATCAGCTGCCTGCAAGCTGCTGTTGTGTCATTTGGATAATGTCATTGTCCCTCAGGCATGCCTAAGGGATGTGCTTTGTACTGAGCGGCTGATCCACTAACCCCATACCAAGTGCTGCATAATTCACTCCGTTGGAATTGTTAGAGCCATTCAGCAATCTGAACTAGCTCTGTTTGCAGCAATAAAGTCACAGAAATCCGCCTGTAAATACTATATTAGCCTACATTTCAATAACAAAACGGTATGAGCGACAGGCAATACATTGCTATCAATTTCACACAGTATACAGCTTGATATTATGCCATCAAATAAATAAAATAAAAGTATTACTACCAATAGTAATTTATTATTATAATGCAACAGAATTATTATTATCATCATCCCAATGAGTGGTCCAGAGATGGAGGCATTTCCAGACTCTTTTGAGCTATTCCAATCCTTTCAGTTCAATATCTATTTACATGGAAAAAATAATGATATTTTTCCTACAGTGCTTTTTTATTTTATGGCCTACTGTACCAGTGTTCCTGATGTTTGTTTGTGTGTGAGAGAGATTTTTTTGTGGTATGAACATTAACAGTGCATTGTATTTCTACTCCCTTAGCATTTTCAGCTTCATTACTTACATAATTTGTTCTGACATGCACTCACAGCAATTCAAGCATGCTGTAATTAAGCCTCTCTTTGACCGATTTCCAGGGCTGCAAGCAGGGAGCTTGGCCAGCAGGTGGCAGTACAGGGCCGCCACTCACATCCTAGGGTGCAGTTAATGGCCCTACATGCTGTCAAGCTTTAAGCTCCTACGGATGTTTTGAAGGCAAAAGCTCTGAGATGCCTTAATTTCCCCCACAGAAACAGGCACGGCTGAACACTCATTCAGGCCTGACAGAGTCCGTGTCACCTCAGGTAAAAGGGAAAAGACTGGAAACGGCAGGGCGAGACGTCTCTGGGGACCTGAAGCTGGCGTTTACGGATAGGGTGCAATGAAAGCAGAAAATCATTAAGTACAGTATTTGCTGTAATTGACTGCTAACAAGCTTTCCATGAGCAGGCCTCTCCGACAGCCTGGAAATCAAGTCAAGCTTAACTTCTAACACAATGGCTTTATTTACTGTTTCAAGCAATCTTTAAAAAGGATTTTATTTAAACCCTACGGATTGAGCCCTACGGATTTCATTCCCCCCCGCGCCCTTTCATGTAGATACATTTGAAAAGGTGAAAAAAACATTATCACCCAGGCAAAAGGGCAAATCCACTTTTCATCCCACTAGAGCAGCCGATGTGGTGCCTTTTATTCCGAGACGTTGTCCTCAGGCTGAGTAATGCGGACTACAAAAAACACAGGGAGGGCAAGTCTTTTTAGGCAGCGCGTTTGTTTTAAGGTTTTCTTCAGAGCACTTTCACAAATTCATGAATTAAATTCATGACTTTGGCTGATACGGATGTCTGTCTGTGAGTCCCTCTGCAAAATTATTTTCTGTGTGTGAAAGTTCAGCTCTGTTAAACAGTGCATGATGATTATAATGTTTATCTGGTAGGAGACACAATGATTTTGACAATACCTTGTTTTTCTCTCATTTGTACAGTAGCTGTGAGAGTTGGGTGTGTCCTGGGGCTTCCGTAGGGTTTTGAGATGCACTAGACAAGTTTCTGTTGCGTTTAATATACGGAATTAAATTTTTCTGCTGGTATTAAAGCCTAGGGACTAATTAACATAATCGTGAGCATTGTTTTGGTTATATATATATTTTCTTCATGGGTTAAGAAGCACAGTCAGCCATTTACTATTTGGTGCTGCATTAAAAATTCTCTTTGTAGAAACTCTTGAACTCTAACTACAATTGATATAAACCATATATGACATGGTTTAGAAAAAGCAGGCAAAGAGACTCCTACATATAAAGCTATATATTTGAGCACCCAGGATCTCTGAGTAAATTTCTGTTGGTATAAATATCCTCTGGTATGAGCAGTCGGCTACTGTCTAGTTAAAATATTCAAAGTCTGGTCTGTAGGATAGCTTTTGCATGACCTTCCCACTGTCATTGCTCTAATTCTGATGCAGAACCTCATCGATATTCTTTTAGAGATAGCCATACCGAAATTTCTGCATAAAAGACAAAAAATAATAACAACCAGACACACTGTGGCATGTTTTGACAGCTGACTTTTATGATTTTGCTTAAGAAAGCATCCGTTTACTTTTACTTTCCAGCACAGGTGCAGCACTAAGGAGGGCAATACACTCAGACGCTGTCTGAGAGGAGAGTGCAAGACTCCTTTCTAAACAGTAATGCATATTTGAAAGGGCAATACAAAATACTGAAGAACTGTCTAAAAGCTTTTGCAGTACAAATCAGCCAGATGCAAGTGCCTGTCTGGTTCAAGCCAAAAAGGCCATGACAGTTTCCTGTCCATTACCAGCTGACACCATTGACTGAGAACATAAAGCATGTGTCTCCACAAAGAAATATGCCTTTTATTTTGTATGGGAACTGCATTTGAGGAATTGTGTAGAATGTATTCCAGATAAGTTGGATTTGCTTTTGGGTAATGCTGTAAACCTTTCTGCAAATTTTGAATCTCCCATTTGTTTTAATTTTATACCCACCCATGCTGGAATCACACATTTTGTCAGACCTTGTGGATGCAGCGCTTGTATCACACAGGGAGAACCTGCAGACTCACTCCTCAAATGCACCCACTTGTCAGAGTCATTCACCGAACCCATTTATCAAACAGCTGGCTGGTGACATGGCCCCAGCTCGTGTCTGCCTTGTCTTGCCTGGGCCACAGAGCTCCACCTGTGCTTGGGCACAGAGCCTTTACTACTTGAGCCACCCAGGCCTCTGGGACCGCAGGAAATTTCCACC